AAGGTACACACTTTTGGTTTTATTTGCCTGGATCTTGGCCCTTGATTTGGACCTTACTAGCTGCAAAACCTTGAATAAATGAATTTATTCTCTCATAAATGGAATTAATCTTCATTTTCAGTTCATAGATTCGTTGTACTAGTTAATATTTAAACTGTAAAGCATTAAGCTCAAGGCTCGGCACACAGCTAGTGTTTATAGATGACAAGTATTGTTACCATCATTGTCATGAAATGCTTATAAAATAGAAATTATGAAAATATTGTGTTCAGAGCTAGCTGGGTATTTTTACATTTGCATGGCATAAAATATGTTTTTTATTATGTAACATCAAAATCACTTGGTTTTCAGAGTTTTTTTGTCTTCTTCTACTGATAATGATCGGTTTCTGTCATTTCAGAGCCTGATGCACGTGCAGGAGTCCGATATATTACTGAGGCCCTTGTTAAAAAGCTTACTAAACAGGACAACCTGGGCTTGGTAAAATCTCTGAACCTTTCACTTTCTAAAGATGGTGGCAAGAAATTTAGGGTAGGTTACTAACAATGCCCAAGTATAGACTTTGTTCTCGTTTATTATAAAATTTAAAAATTCATATATGTATATATAATAGATGTAGCATTTCATCCAAATGTCATATAATTAATAGTAAACCTTTTATTATTTCCAGTGAGAGTTACACATCAGAAGCATATCTCTTACTATGTAAACTATGTCAAATAACTTGGGTTGTTACCATTAATTCATTAGTTCATAATTCTATATAAGCCAAATCTGTTGCTATAGAGTCAATTCTGACTCATGGCAACCCTATAGGATATGGTGGAACTAACCTATAGCGTTTACAAGGCTGCAGACTTCATGGGAACGGACGACTACCTATTTCTCCCGTGGAACAACTGGTGGATTTGAACCACTGACCCGTCAGTTAGCAGCTGAGCTTTGAACCACTGTGCTAGAGACAGGGTTGCTACACTGTATACTTCCTGCTGCATATGTTCATCAATAAAATTAGATTGGAATACAGCTAACCCATTCATGTCTATATTGTCTACGGTGATTTTCATGCTGTAAAGGCAAAGCTGAATAATTCAGATGACTTTATGGCCTGCAGAACCAAAACTGTTGACTTTCTGACCTTTTACAGAAAAAGTGTGCTACTCCTGCTCTAAGGAGTCCTGGTGGCACAGTGGGTTAACTGTTGGGGTGCTAACCCCAAAATGGGCAGTTCAAACAGCAGCTGCTCCTTGGGAGAAAGGTGAAGCTGTCTGTCTGCTTCCATGAAGGTTTACAGCCTTGAGAACCCTATGGGGTTGTTCTCTGCTTTATAGGGTCTGTGAGGTGGACTGAACTTGACGGCACTGAGTTTAGTTCCTGTTCTCGGGTGTTACTACTTTATGCATAAACTATACAAATTAGCATGTTGTGATGGAAGTTCAGTTTTTTTTAATTGGAAAAATAACTAGATTTTTGTCACACGTTGAGAAAAATCGCAGAAATTTGAAGAGGAAGTACTGTAAATGGAAAACAATAAGCAAAAAAATAGTGGAAGAATTGATAATATTTTTCATCTTGTATATATACAACCAGTGCCATTTGCATATCCATTTATGGTTATTTTATGCCAGGCATTATGTTAGTGTGTGGTGGTAGATCTAGCTCTGAAAACCTAAGAGTTGAGTGTGAAGAATGCCTACGATGCAGAGGAGAAATGAGGGAGAATCAGAAATAATGAGGGAGAATCATAGAGGGGAGAGGCAGACACAGTGAACAAGCCTGAAATTGGTTTAGAGAAAGAAGAAGATTCAAGAGTATGGTAACTGGAAATCAAAGGAAGAGAAGTGGAACTTCACGCAGGAAAGGAGGGTATAAAATGTCAGAGCAGTCACATAGGTAAAAGTCATTTAGATTTGGCCCATGCTTCTTTCACTGAGACTTTTCCTCCCCAGCAACGAACTCACAATTGCATACACTCTTACAGTCCACTGATTTCTTTAGCACCTACTGTATGCTGTGTCAATAGCTGTGAGCCCAGCAGACAAAACCCACCCTTGTGGGCTTGCATGTTATCTTATTGTATTATCTTTATTTTCTTGTTTAGTACTCATCTGGTTAGTATTTGAAAATCTCGTTTGCTTATTTATTTGCTCACTGTCTCTGAGAATGAGAACAAGAACCATGTTCTCTTACCAGCATTGTATCTCCCGTAATTTAGAACAGCTGTTGGTTCATAATCTATGTTTGGTCAGTGTTTTTGGAATAGTTGAATGAACGGTGGCATAGAAGATAATTATTTGAATACATTAATGGGGACAGAAGGTGTGCTGCCATGCCAGCTGTATAGGAATACATAGAAGACAGAATGAACAGAGATAGACAACGCTCATGAGAATATTGTTGGCAGATAAGGGAAATAAGATAATGGTATGATAGCAAAGCAGGTTCAAGGCAAGGTGATTGTTTTATGTAAGGAAGATTTGAACATGTTTAACCTGTGGTAAGGAGGTTGTCTTGTTCATTGCTATAGCCACATTATTTGGTGCTACACCTGGTATGAACTTAATGTATAATGGCTATTTGTTGAGCAATGATTGTTTTTAAACTTGAGGTGGAAAGATCCAGGAGAAAGTAAAAAGTCGAAGATGCAAAGACATAGGGGCAGGAGTTGGGTGGGGTTATGTGAGAAGCCTCAGTGCCTACTTTAAAAAAAAGGGAAAAAAGCTGTCTCTTGAAGAGAGGAGAGAGGGAGAAACATCAAAGAAGTTGAGGTGGAGGATAGAATGGGCCCGGGGCATGGACTGCACTTCTCAGAGAGTCTTGAGCTTCTTAATATTTAGGAAGTGTTGTCCCCTGAGGGACAAGGAATACGTGGCAGGTTGAAGACAATTGTTACTCTTACTCTAGGAGACTTGCATTGAGGGATTGTCCAGGAGCAGGAAATTTCATTATTCTCTAATGACAAATCAAAACAATTTCTGGTGTACAGACTTAAAGACTGCCTTATGACAAGACACCTATTGTATAAAGTATTTCATTTGTTTCCAATTAGTATATTGAAAATTTGGAAAAATGTGTTTGCCTTGAAGTACTGAACCTCAGCTATAATCTCATAGGGAAGATTGAGAAGATGGATAAACTATTAAAATTACGGGAACTCAATTTATCATATAACAAAATCAGGTAAGTAAATCCTTTAAGGAGCATTGCACGATCTTTGTTACCCAAATTACTGATAGAATCCTTTGACAAGTTGGGCACTTTGATCCTTAATCATTGATCATCTAGCTTCCGCATGAGCTAATTGCCAGACTAGTATCTTATCTAGCATTAGCGAAGAAAGGGCTACTTTTTGAGTACTGTATTTTATTTTCTTATTTCATTTTTGCAGAAATTTGTCCTAGATGTAGTCTATATTTCACTGCCTTATTGCATTAAGGATATTGACATAAAACAAAATGTTTTTTTTTTAATAAAATGTTTTTGATTATGCTATTCTGGTCTAAGAGATGTTTCAGCTCCATTTTGAACCTGTGTACCTCTCCTAATGTTCCTTGCTCATTGTTAAAAGAAATACACTCTCACTCTTGTTTCTAATTAATAATCCATATTAGCTAGTAGAAAGAAAACTGACAATGGTTAAAACTACACATAGAAAACTTATTATGTATAAAAAAAGAAAACTTATTATAAACAAAAACTGATGTAAGACTTAAATAAAATCTTGAGACTCTTTATATATATGTCCCCCCAAAATTAGACTTGTTATAAATAATGGCCACCAAAACATTAGTAATAGTGGGAGAATCTATAATAAGATGAAATTGAAATGAAAAAGATTAATGAAGCTAATATATAGTATGTTTGCTTAAAAAGAATTGATCCTGATGTAAATAATTTCAGCAAAATAAAAATGAAAATGGCAAACCTTGAAAATGTTTGCTGAGTGTGGCAAATTAACCAAAGAATTGGAATTCACGTGGAATAACATATCATCAGTCAAAACTGATCAGCATAGGTAGCAAATGGTTTATTAATTTAAACACTATGATTAAATATTTCTGTTTCTAAACACAATGTCATCGTCAGGCTAGCCCCTATTTTGTGGTGACTTAAAACATGGAACACTTTCCTTTGCAGGAGGGGACTTTAACAAGTAGCAGAGGATGTGCTTTTGAATTTTTGTGCTCATCCCTGGCTGCTAACTTCCATGGACAGTTACATTGCCACCAATAGAACTGCTCGCAGCCTATGATATTTATTCAGACTTTATGTTAAATAGTCTAGGGCCTGGATTTAGGGCAAGTTTTGTGGTTTGTTGGTGCTCATGTCACTTATTTCAAGGTTTAGTAGGTTTCCCAATGTTGTGGGGCCCTCTGATATTAAAAGAGGCAGGATTCCTGGGAGTAGTAAGAAAAGATTACCAGTTTAGCTCTTACTCCTTTGTTTTTAGCCATTTTTTTTTTTTTGGTGCTCATTCATGAAAAGAATTGATACATTAAAATGATAAAAAGTACCCTGAAGTGAGACCAAGCCTGTTTATTCTAAAAAATGTAACAGAGGAACTCTATCATTGTACTCATTAAATTTGATTTTATCCTTGGGTTTCCAGCAAAATTGAAGGCATAGAACATATGTCTCATCTGCAAAAGCTCAACCTGGCAGGGAATGAAATTGAGCACATCCCAGTCTGGTTAGGGAAGAAGTTAAAGTCTTTGCAGGTCCTCAATCTGAAAGGCAACAAGATCTCATCGGTAAGTTACTCAGCGGAGGGAGAACTGCTTTTTAAAGTTTTGGACTGTTGGGGGAGAAAGAAAAGATTCACACTCGAGTGGTTGGTTTTTGTTTCTGGTGATGTTGTTTTAGATGGGGTTTCTTTTTAAGGTCTTCGGTCTTCTGACTCAACTCTGAATGAAAGAAGTAGAAAATGAAAGGTGACAAGACTTCCTTCCTGTGAACTTGGAGCATCCCTTGATCTTTCTAGAAGTCATTGCCTCATGTTTCCGTGGGAGAAAATAGCCTCTTTTCTGCTTTGTAGGTTGCCTATCCATGGGGCTCAGATGAAATGATAAAGGTGGAGCTACTTTAAAACATGAAGTAACTCTAAGGTTATATTAATTACGTTTTCTCAAGTGGAGGCCAATAATAATAATAAATGACATTTTAAAAGTGCCTTGCAGTTGCAGGATCTCAGCAGTGACAACTGTGTTATGTACAGCATCCCCTGGGAGCTCAGGGGAAGATACGAAGAGCTGGCCATGAGTCTAAATTTTGCCAAAATAATAACCTTAGGTATTTAGAGGGCTTCAGAAAGTTTGTGGAAAAAGTCTATTTTCTTTTCATTCCATTTTCTGCGAACTTTTTGAAGCCCTTTGTGCTCAGTGTCAGCCAACAGTAATAGAGAAGACGTTCACGGACTGTTTTTTCTTTTTTTAAATCATTTTATTGGGGGCTCTTACAGCTCTTAACACAATCCATACATCCATCCATTGTTTCAAGCGTATTTGTACATATGTTGCCATCATTATTTTCAAAACATTTTCTTTCTACTTGAGCCTTTGATATCAGCTCCTCCTCATCCACCCCCACCCTCCCTCATGAGCCCTTGTTAATTTATAAAATTTTTTCTCCCCATGTCTTACACTGACCGCTGTCTCCCTTCACCTACTTTTTTGTTGTCCATCCCCCTAGTAAGGGGTTATATGTGGATCATTGTGATCAGTTCCCTCTTTCTCCCCCACCTTCCCTTTCCCCTCCTGGTAACTCTATTCTCATAATTGGTCCTGAGAGGTCAAGAGCTATTTTTCATTGTTGCTCATTTTGTATGACTTTCTCCTGCCCATTCATTGCTGGTGTTGGCATCAGTCTGAGTGGTGTACATTCACTTAGGAGAGATTCAGCTTACTCACTATTTAGAAAGTATTTACCAGCCTTTTAAAACCCTTCTTTGGATAAACAGACAGACATCACACTCCCCCAAGAGTTGGCAGAATCTACCTGTGGAGGCTGTGTGCCCCTCTCCTGCACCACTCTGTGGTGGCATATGTATTTTTCAGAAGAACTCATCCTTCCAGATCTTATTAAGGATTGCGGAATAGAACATTCTTAAGAAGTTAGACTAAGGACTTGCTGTCTTCTGTTAGAGACCAGTTCTGTTTAGCCTATGTCCTGTGAATGGGCCAAGATGTGAGAGAGACTTTTGTTAGGCTCCTATTATTAGCTTAAAAACTGTGCGTATCTCTGCGTACCTTTATTTTTAAGTCTTTTACAGCCATCTATATTTTTCATTTACCCAGTCATTAAAATGAAAAGGCCATAGGTTTAGAAAAGGCCAGACCTGAATTCAATTCATATGTCATTGATTTACGTAATTCTGGGCTTTTACAAGTTACCTAACTTCTTTACGCCTCAGTTTTTTTCCATCTGCAAAATTCAGATCAAGTGCATGGGTTTGGATTTGTGGCAGGTCCGATCCCATGGGCCTCTCACAGTGTCCCATGCCAAAGCAAACTGTCCCCCCGAACCATTGCCTGGCTTTACCTGGTAGGCTTAAGGCACTGAAGTGGGTTGCACAGTAAAATAAAGTTCTGGTTGACCTGAAGTGTACACCAGCTTATTCTTCCAATCTAGTCACTATCTTCCGTCATCTTGTTTATATTTTAAAAAATAAAAAAAAGATAAAAATAAATTAAAATTCAGATCATACTTACACTATAAATTGTGAGGGGTTACAAATGAAATAATTATGAAAAATGCCTCATAGTACACTGACACTGTAGATTCTTAAAAAAACGATGTTTTCCCTTTCTGTCCCTTTCCCACCACCACTACTAATGGGTTTCATGAGTCAGTTCCTTGCTCTCCGAAGCGCCATTTCCTGCTGTATATACTCAAGTATAAGCCAACCCGAATATCAGCTAAGGCACCTAATTTTACGTCAAAAACTGCATTAAAAATGTGCTGAAAAAACTTGGCTTATACTTGAGTATAAGTAGTTTCTTTTAGGTATGTTTATGGTTTAAATTATATTATACTAATGATATGTATCTCTTCAGCTCCAGAATGTAAGCAGGTTGAAACCGCTTCAAGATTTGACTTCTCTGGTCCTAATCGAAAATCCAATTGTGGCTCTTCCTCATTGCCAGCTATTTACCATTTTCCACCTCCGTTCACTGGAAAGTTTGGAAGGTCGGCCAGTAACCACTCAGGACAGACAGGAGGCTTTTGAGAGATTCAGTTTAGGTAAGGTGGCATTTTTAAAAGAACCTAATCTAAGTGGGGGAGGAATTTATTCTTTCAGAGGTTATCCAGAAAAACATTATATTGTGAATTCTGTATGCTGTTAAAGTTTGCATGGCAAATGATACCATAAATGAATTCATTCAGCAAATATTTATTGAGCATGTGCTATGAGCCACACATTGAACTTGCCACCAAGGATGTAATAGTGAATAAGAATATGGTGCTGGTCTTCACATAGTTATGATTTAGGGGGAGAAGACAGATGAAAAGCAAGTGCATCTAAATGAGGTAGCAGAGGGGAGCCTCTTTTTAGGGCAGATGTAAAAGAATGCTCCTCTGAGGAATTGTTCATCAACCAAAGGCAAAGGAAAGGAAGACTTAGCTCTGTGTAGAATGCCATCAGCGAGAGACAGCAGCTTGCGTTGTGAGGTTGAGAAGAGTTCAAGGACCTGGAAGAAGACCAGTGTGACTGGAGGGTGGCTCAAGAAAATGCTGGAAGCAAGATAATGAGGGGTCTTGGTGGATGGACTTCTGTTTCAGTGTGGTGGGAAGCCATTGGTCATTTTTAAGCAGGGTGGAGCATAATAAGTTTATGTATTGGGAAGTTCACTTTTGATGCAAAAGGGAGATTAACAATGGAGTAGGGCAAAAAGAGAGATGAAGAAAACTGTTGGGAGCCTATAGCAATCATCCAGGCTAGACATGTTGGTGGTTTGTACTTAGGGGTTAGACTTGGCTGTGGAGAAAATATGGAATCTTTTGGATCCATTTTGGAGGGAAAGTAAGGAGCACTTCCTAATGAATTGGGTAATTCTCACGCTTCAGGGAATGAGTGCCTAGATAATGATAGTCATTTATGGTAAATGAATCATTTAAAAAAAAAAAAAGAATCAGCAAAGACTGATTCCTGTGCTGTGGAGGTTAAAGCTGCCCCAAATGTCCAAACTGCTGTACCACTCTAGCATCCTGAACACCAGCTTTCCCTACTCTTGTGTCTCTGTGTTGGTAATTTGCTGCTATGGTTCAGAGTTCACGAACTATACTTACAGTTAAGTGGTTTACGAGGAAAGTAACAATACAACTGGGGATTAGGATCAACTAAGAAATAAGAGGAACAACTCAGGTTATAGTTCATTCATCAAGACTGTTTCTCTTCACCAGTGGCTGCTGGGCCTGACTGGGGCTTGCTCGGATGTATGTTACAGCTCTCAGCTCTGTGTGTCAGCAAGCCCCACCCTAGCCATCTTGTGCTAGTCTCTTGGTACCTGGTATCTAGTGCTGTCCTCACTCTTGCTGTTGCTTCCCACCATTGCTTGCTGTTTTCAGCATACATACTTATGGAGGATATTCACTACAACATCCCTTTCTCTCTCCATATCTTCCTCTATAACTGCTATCAGGGAGCTGGTGGTAGATCAAGCTCCTGATCATTTGCAAAGCTGCCTCACCATCATCACACCAGCAAGACTATGAACTAACCAATTCCCTGTATGCACTTTATTTGCAGTAGTAGATGTTTTGATGCCTGCACAGGCCTTATTTGCGTAGTCCTACCCAATCATTTTATTGGAGTTGTAAGATAATATATGTCTAGAAGGGCCATATTAAATCACTGTACTGCAGGTAGAAATAGTAGAATTCAGTTTTGTTTTGGATATGGAATTTAAAATTTCTGTGAGGCAACTTAATAGAAATGCCAAGTTGTTGTCTGTGATGAAGTCATCCCTAACTCACAGTGACTCCATGCTGCCAAATTTCACACCATCCCAAGAGCAGCTGTGTGGATCGGACTCTTGTGATGCTTAGGGTATTTGTTAACTGATTATTGGAAGTAGATTGCCAAGCCTTTTTTTTTTTTTTTTTGGTCTAATCTGTTTCATTTTGCAAGTTCTGCGAAAGTCTGCTCTGTCTCATAGCATCATGCAAACGCGCACTGAAACAGGTGGTGGTTGCATGTAGGGGGATGGTGACTGGGATCAAGCTTACTCTGCTGCATGGAAGGTGAGAATTCGCTCACTGACCCACCACTGCTGAAGCTCAGACAAGAGATCTGAATTGGAGGTAGAAATTTGAGTCATCACTGGGGCTTGATAAACTCAGCCAGACAGGAGTTGGGAGGAAGAGGAGGAGGAGCTAGGTAAGGGAGACTGGGAAAGAGTGACCACCAAGTAGGAGAAAACCAGGAAGTAGTAGTGAGCTGCAACAGCCTGGAGGAAGGGGTTTCAAAAGAGGAAATGATCAACGTGTTGCTGAGATAGGAAGTGCGATAAGTACAGAGGAGTGTGCTTTAGGCAGCAACGTAGGGTGATGAGCTCAAGATCAGCTTTAGGGGTGGTGGGAATAAGTGCTAGAGCATAGTGGCTTCAAGAATGAATGGAAGACATTGGGTGGCCAGATGGAATTTCCTTCCACTTACTACTACCCCTCTCAATGTAAATTGGTTTCTAAATCCAGATAGTCTTCTTTCCAAAACTAGTGACTAATTTTTAAAGTAGAATTGTATTTACACTATTCTTAGATTTGTTACCTAGACTATTCTTAGAATTGATTTTACACTATTCTTACACTTGTTTCATTTGAGAAATATTATAACCCTTTAATTAGGAAAGATAATGGGACATAAACAATTTTTTATTGGCAGAAGAGGTAGAAAGACTAGAAAGAGACTTGGAAAAGAAGGTGGTAGAGACGGAAGAGCTGAAGAGCAAACATAAAAGGTACCTTGAGGAAATGAAAAAGCAAGATACACTGAACAAATCATTAAAAGAGGAGGCCATGTTACATAAGCAGAGCTACGAGGAACTGGAGAGTGACCTAAACACAAAGAATGAATTGGTGAGTCCATATTTTTCATTGCCTTGGCAATTGCAATAATCTTTTAAGAATTCTTTGTTCGTAGGTTGAAAATATCATGTCCTGACCATTGAATGGAGAAGATAGGTTTACTAGAATATATACAAAAGTCTACAAGTTGTATACTATGTCTGGTATGGCTACCCCAAATGGCTAGTTTGGGCTGCATTCTTCAAAGTGTGATGTTCAAAACAAAGGAGAAGGACGAAGCTTCTCACTATGAGGAGATGTAAGACTTCCTGTATGTACCTAGATGTTTCTGAATTTAAAGCAACAGTATGCTTGGTGAGACTGAACCATTGGCAAAACCTTTTAGAAGGCAACTTGATAAAAATTATCCAAATCTTACATAGACCCATTTAGTGTCTCAAAGCTTCCCTTTCTAATAATATATTCTGTAGTGATGCTAGCAAGAATGTATAAAAGATCACACAAATGGAATAAAAAGATAATGAAATTTTCCCATGAACTTTTTGAAATTCCCTTATATACATATGAGGGGGTACCGAAAAAACCCCAGAATACCCCCCCAAAAGAAAGCTATGTATTTAATTAAAAAAAATTTTTTTTTTATAAAGCAACCTTATCACCTTCAAAGTACTCTCCATTACACTTAATATATTCGTCAAATTTGTGATTCCATTCTTGGAAACATTTGTCAAACTCATCTGTTTGGATGACTGATGAGCACCTCCCTCATTTTTATTCTTCACCTCCCCTACGTCATCAAATCGCTGTCCTTTCATGTCTCTGCATTTGAGGAAACAAAAAAGAAGTCGTGTGTAGGGAGATCAGTAAGGGAGGTGTGTGGGACAAGAGAGGCATGCTGTTTTTTGCCAAAAACTGGTACACTGAGATGACTGCGTGAGCAGGTACATTGTCATGGTGGCAAAACCAGTCCCCTGTCTGCCACAAATCAGGCCTTTTGATCGCACACTAAATTTCTGTAGCATTTTTCTTGAGTAGGAAACAAAATTTCACAGCCACACAATGTTGTCTTACATTGGCCATCACAACAAACGACGTTTGAGCAAACTGCTTTTATGAAAAAATATACTGTGACCAGAGAGAACTTTCTGAGGCAATGCCACTGGGTGCACTAACTCAGTGAGTTGCTTGATGCTCTAGGCTAGCGGGGAAAGAAAATGCATACTATGAAAATGCATTTTCAGAATGGAAAAATGTACTTTCCGTTTTGGGTACCCCCTCATATTTCTTGGAGGATATTCACTACAACATTGTTTCTGGGAACAAAAGAGAAAAAAGAGTTAATTTCCAACTGGGAAACTTAGAGGACATCCATCTGGTGGGGTAGTTGAGCTGGTTGTCTAGATGTAGAAGGATCTATGACATATTGTTATGTGAGCTGGGGGTGGGGAAGTCAGCTGCAAAACGGCATGTTGAGGATGAGAAATATGTGAAACTGCGTGTGTATGGAGAAAAATGGCAGAATATGTACCAAACTCTTAACTAGTTAATTATGAGAAGTACAATTATAGAGCACATTCAAATAGTCCTTTGTGCATATCTGCAATGTTTACATTTTAAGTAATTTGGCTTTTAGGTTAAAATAGGAAATAAAAAAGATATTAAAAAGTAGACTGTGTTCTTGAGACCATGTCATTTGAGACATCCCCAAAGGAGTTGAGGTGACCAGGCTGAAGAAGAGGAGACCTAGTGAGCTTTGACACCCGTCTTCAGATTTTCAAAGAGCTCTTTCATAGAAGAGGCACTAGAATAATTAAGATCTAGTCAATCTAATTATAGGAAAACTGATTTTCATTTAGGAATGAGGAAGAAAATTCTAATTGCTGTCCTGAGAGCAAATGTGATGATCTTACAGTGTTTTGCTGTTACTTTTCAAGGCAGACCTGGTGGCGTGGTGGTTACAATTGAGCAATTGAAAACCACGAGCTGCTCGGGAGGAAGGTGGGACTTTCTACTGCCATTAACAGTTAGAACCTCGGAAACTCCCAGGAGCAGTCCTGCCTTCACCTATAGGGTTGGTATGGGTTGGCATCGACTAGATAGCAGTGAGGGTTTGTTTTTTTTTTAAGAAAACGTCAGAAGCTGCCCTTGTACTTGAGATTTGACGGGGAAGATTAAAATCATTAGGCCAGAGATTCTCACTTACCTAGAGAAGCAGATTTTATAAAAATGTTCAGCTACTTTCTCTGGAGGAAAAAGAGTTATTGGTACCCCCCACCTCAGCTTTCTTATTTTAAGCTATGTGTAAGAGATTATAGAGAATCGTTTCTCTTGGAACTAATAGAGTCTCACATCTAGTTATCATCTTTTATGTTTCCCTTTCAAAATTGTCAGTCTTAATTACTTGCCTTGTTGGCGAGAAGATTTCTACTGTATCTCTCATTTTATTAACAAGAATTCCATCTGTGATTTAAAAAAAATCACTTTATTGGGGGCTCCCATCTGTGATTCTTTATGTGGGGGCTAGCAGTCGAGAAGGGGAGTTGTAACTTGAAATATCACTACTTAGCTACCTCCTTCTTGAGCTCTTCTTTGCCTGAGAAAAAGGTAATTTATACCAAGGGGAATAGTGGGAAAATAGAACAGCTTCCCAACTCTGTTATTAAATATTAATTGCATCTTGGGTTTTCCTTTCATGTGTAGTGGTTACACATTGGACTGCTAAGTTCAAGGTGAGCAGTTTGAATCCACCAGCCAGCCACTCCCCGGAAGAAAATTGAGGCTTTCTACTCCCATAAAGAGTTGTAGTCTTGGAAACCCACAGGAGCAGTTCTACCCTGCCCCATAGGATCGCTGTGAGTTGGAATTGACTCACTGGCAGTAAGTGAGTGAGTCACTTACTTGAGGATGGTTTTCTATCTGTATTCCAAAGGCCCATATTAGTACTGTTAATAATCCAGTGATTATCATGGTTTTAGAGTCTATGAAGGGGCTTCAAAAAGTTTGTAGAAAAATTCTATGATCCCGTGAACATTTTGAAGACCCTTCATAAATACTTCTGTGCTTTCCATTAATAAAATTGTTGAGTAAGTAAACCATTGTAGACTAACATAACGATCAATTTTAATAATGAGTTCATGTCCACATAAATTTGTGTTTAAGATACAAAAATAACAGTAATTATTATAGTATTATTCAATGTTTCCCAACATTTAATAAACTTTACAGTTAGCAGATCTTCTGGGGATATAGGATCATCTTTTAATAACTAAGATTAAATAACTGTATGCTTTCCTTTTGCTTAATCCCTGGCATAGAGAGTCAACCTATTTTCAACCCATTGAAAACATGAGCAAAATGTCATGTCTTGTGCCTTTGGGTTAGTCAAAAATTATAGTTGTCTCCTTCTCTCGTCATCGTCTTTATAATGTTGCTGTGTTTCTGCTATGGGTAAATGTCTTGTAAATTGTCAGTTTTGGATTTTTCCCCCCTAACTACCTGTATAGATGTCAGTTTGTACTGTTTATATTGTTGTGTTGATTTTATCATTAACTATTTAAGCATTCTTCTGTATGAAAATTAGCATGTTTGCTATAACAAATTCAAGTGACGGGTAAGTGTATGCAATAGAAAATGAAGGTCCCATTTGTCTCTACCATGTTCCTTCTTATTTTTATTTTCTATGCTAAAATGCTATATATTATTCATGTAATTATATAATAACACACATATGTGTATATGTAATTAAATATACCCTTAATAAGCGTTCTTATAGCAATCAACTATATGAGACCAAATAGGCAGCATTTGCTCCAAGGCAAAGGGGCAGGGAACCCAAAGGGACGGAAACAGGGAAGGCAGGGTAGAGACGGGGAAGGTGCTGGCACATGCAGAGACTGCAACCAATGCCCTGGAACAAATTGCTTATAAAATTGTGTAGTGGAAAACTACTTTGCTTTGTAAACTCTCACCTAAAACACAATAAAATGTCTTTAAAGCATACAACCTTCAGTATTTGATTTAAAAACAAAACGGAATCTTACTATAAGTCCGTAATTTGTTTTTCACATAGTAATATATCATGAGCAACTCTCCAAGTTAAAAAAAATTAAATATGTGTCAGGAAATATATTTATTTCACATTCTTTTAAAAGTCTATATTATGTTCCCATTATATGAATCCTCCATAGCTTATTTATCTTTCTCCTATTTATGAATATTTAGGTTGCCTCCTACTTTTTGCTATTAGAGAATGATGCGGAGAAAATCTTGGGGGTGGGGGCATGGTATGTGTATGTATATCCTTTTATATCCTTGCTAGTAATCATTTACTATAAATTAGGACAATCAATTATTGCATAATTTGCATCTAAAATTTTGATAAATGTTAATGCATGCTTTAAAAAGTTTATAACCAATTTATATTCCTACAACAGGAATTCCTCATTGGATATTTAGAACTTGTAAATATGATAGAAAAAGTAGAATCACATTACTATTCTAATTTGCATTTCTTTAGTTGTGAGAAAATTGAGTATCATATATGCATTGGTTGTCTGGCTAGTTCATGTTTGTTCTTTCAATTGACAGTTCATATCCTCTTGCTGTTTTTTTGTCCAAAGAACTATTCTGTGTTACAAAATAATTCTGGGTCTCTGTAGGGGGCTTCCAAAAACTTATGGAAAATTGGAATTTTCCCTGAAACTTTTTGAAGCCCCTTGAATTTTAAGAGCTGCATTTGAAAAATGTTCTTTATGATCACATATTTATAATACTGTATCATCAGATATTTATATCGTATCATGCTTTCTAGTTTTCTTTGGTCAGTTAATTTATAAAATACACATCTGTGTGGGTGCACATACATGCTTAAATACCAAAAATATCAAGCACACACTGCCCGTTTCGAAGATTGTCACACTTTTATGGGAATAGAAAGCTGTGTCTGTCTTTGTCTCCCACAGAGCAGCTGGTAGTTTCCACCTGCTGACCCTGTAGTTAACAGCCCATGACGCTACCAGGTCTCCTACATACATAGATACATTCGGAAAATTAGTAACCTTGAAATAAATGTTTTAGTGACCATTTAAACCATCATAGTCTACCTACCCCCCTACCTACCCTGCTGTTGCCAACAAATATTAACTGAACTTACTTTTCATTCTCTTGCAAGTGATCTACCACCTATGTTTCATTTTCCTCATTTTAAAAACGTGTGTGATTTACCTATCCTGCCTGCCTTCCTTAGACTTGTGGGGGCTTAGTGAGATAATGAATGTGAACATGATTAGAAACAAATCAATTAAATAGCGGGAGGTGGTAAATCTATAACTACTAGTTTTAAAATTATGATTACCTATGTTGATGTAATTCCTGCAAATATTAATAAGTAGATCTTCATAAGGTAAGTTGTCAGTAAAATGGAATCTTGCAGTGTGTATTACTTACTACAGGTCAGTTCTTTAAGAGTTCACCAGGTAATGGTCTCTGTTTGATTCTTTCTCCTTTTTAGTCTTGGTTTCTTGCAGACTCTTTTCTGCTGATACTTTATTCTTCCTTAAAGGTAGTTGCCTCAGTTGAACTGAACTGCACATTGTATTTGTCCTGGTTTGCATGAAAACATATGAATATGCTTGTGTACATTTTAAGTTTTGAAACTGGAATGCCTTCTGGGGAAACGTGCTTGTGTTTATGTTTTTGGTTTTGGGTGGTGTTTTTTTTTTAATGATTGTGTACATTTGAGAGTGAATTTCAATGTGGAGAAAAGAATTTATAACATTTTCCCAATTGATAAATAAGTTAACTGCAGTCGACTCATGATTATCCAGGGTGATGTGATACTTGAACCAATCTGTTTTCCATGTGCTTTGACTTCTAATTGGTCATGCAGTTCTGCAGCTGGCATTTATTGAGCACTTATTATATGCTAAACCCAGTGTTGTGAAGGACACAAAAGTACTTTGAGAAGCACAGGGGTTTTGTATTGTTTGCCTCCGTTATCCATGGTTCCAGTCACATATGCCATCTATTTGTTCTGAATGCCAGAGCACCTTAGAGAGAGAAGCCCCAGGATTAGTTGATGCTATTGGATTGTGAGTTGCTTTTTTTGAGACTCAAGGATAGATGGACACTCAGTGAGAGCAGATCATGTGCTGGACAGTAGGTAATGTGCTACAGCTGGACTCTGAAGGCAGCATGGTAAAATCGAGAGCCTTGGATTGAGTGCTGCCATGTGTACTACCAGCTATGTGCTGGGCAGGTAATTTAGCCCTTCTGTGCAGCTTTCATTATCCTGCAGTGCAGTTGTGCAGATGTAAGAAACTAGCACATGGGAGGTGCACGGCCCAGTGTTTGCCACACAGTGACTGCTCAGTCAGCATTGCCTGTTAGCCAGGCTGGCATTACCCATTTGATAGATAATCAGGAGGACACTGTAAGCTCAAATATGCATGACCTTCATTTTTTGGATGTTGTAAAATGCACATGCTTGTTTGTATTTCGTTTTCCTCAGCTTGTGTTTTTATATTAATGAGTTTTTTTCTGCATGTTGTCTGGTGTATACTGTCAGACATGGGCGCAAACACAGAACAAGGTGTAAATCACTTAGTGGACCTTTGAAATGGACTCAGAGGACTGGTATAGTAGTTAATGCACAGTAGTTAGTATGTAAGATGTTTAACTTGTTTGCCTAATCGTATATCTAACTTTTGAAAAATTATGTCACCAATATGGAAATCAATTTATTAATAAGTTCAGAGGATTAGATTGGATGTTTTTTTGTGTCTTCCAAGCTCTAAAAAACATCTAAGAATAGTAAGTTGTGATTACAGTAAAATTTAACTTTATAAACATTTACTATTACATATTTTGAGCAAATTGAGCTTATTTACACCCTTTGCCACCTATAAAGAATCTTTTGAACATCAAAATTTGTGAAGCCATTAAATGCAACAATCAAGACCAGTTTATTTTTTTCTTCTTCTCCCTGCATAATTCCTTTCTAGTTGATTTCAAAATAGAAATTTCATGATTTGTAGCAGTTTTTAAAATCACAGAGTAAATTAAATAAATGAGTTAATTACTGGGAAATCACAACACAGATATTTAAAAGACCAGTTTACTTAGAAATAGTTAATACAGAGTTATTTTCATGTTTGGATAAAGCAACTTTATGATTTAAAAATCTTGAATCATTGCAACCTGGAATATGATAGTATATAAACTTCAAAGGTCTCTTATGTGATCTTGTTTTAAAGTATATTTTTGGCTTCATTGTTTATAATAATTTTAAATGAAAAATGTTCTGAATGTTGTATTATGTGCTGTGGAGTTTTAAAATATGTGTCTATTAGTAGTGACTAGAACTTGCCACATTGTGGACCTCTCCACTAACTCACTGATGTTATGTGTTATATTGGGCCAATAGCTCAAACAGAAGACCATGGAACTATCACGAGCATGTCAGAAACAGTATGAGCTGGAGCAGGAGTTGGCCTTTTATAAAATTGATGCTAAATTTGAGCCACTAAATTATTATCCATCAGAGGTGAGTTGTAATGTTTTAGCAGTCTGAAATTCAGAGGCATCATGGGTGCATGGGTTGCAGCATTTGAGGGATTTTTATCAATACCTACTCATTTTCTGTGTTGTAAGGCATCAGCACAATAAACTATGTTCGCTTGAATCCATGGATGATTTGGGCTCTGTGAATTAGAGCACCGAGTTAGATCACAGACGTGTATATTCATAACCCAAGGCAGCTGTCGAAGCTTCAGTTACTAAGCTCAAGAGTGGGTGGGTAGAGCAGCTCCCTTAAATCCAGACTTCTAGAAAAAGTAAACCGCCCACTTTAGTGGCCATAGAATAGATTACTGTTGTCTCGTTAATCACTGGGCTTCATATTACAACCAACATTCTGACAGACGCCAGGAGAGCCACTGCAAGGGACCTACCTGCACAGGAACCACTTCTGAGAACCCCTCCTCACTGTTATCAGACATCACTGAATCTAAACATTAAGTGCCTAACATGCAGCAGACAGAGATTTTTCTTAGTTCAGCCGAGAAAACAAAATGAAACACCAGATTTCTGGTATTAGAGATTAGGCAGTGCTCAAAAGCATCTTTGTGGGCAGTTCTTTAATCAGTCAGGCCACACTCTTTTCACTCTCTTAGAGGAGAGGGACTGTTTCTAAGGCCATTTCTTATTCTAATTCTTTGCCTGATGTATGAGGAATCTTCCAAAAAGTTCATGGAAAAATGGAATTGAAAGATAAAGAAACCTTTCTACGAACTTTTAGAAGCTCTGTCATATTAACAATAAAGAAAAAGATTGTGTATTTTTAAATTTCTTGACATGTAGGATAGGATTTAATGTCAGTTCAGGCAATTCTGTAATCGGTTTTCCACTAATGAAATGAATTAGAGCTTTGATTGCTTTGAAGTCAATTATTATACCATAAATCTATTTCTTTTGCTTTTAGTATGTTGAAGTTGATAAAGCCCCAGATGAAAGTCCTTACATTGGTAAATCCAGATACAAGAGAAATATGTTCACCACAGAGAGTTACATTGTTGCTAATGCTCAACAAGTGCACATCAGGAAGATGGAGCCAGCTGAAGGGGAACTCCTTCAAAATGAACATGCTAGCTCAAAAGCTGGACAGCCACTGGATGTACAACTGGAAGACAAAGGGAAAAGAATAACTGCAGGTTAAAAAAGTTATTCTGGATTTTTTTTTAAATATAAAAAGATTGCATATGTCGGTAAATTTGTTTCACAATTCTTTTAATCAGCAGAACATGCTTGTAATATCGATTATGTTGTTGTACATGAGAAGTCTGAAAGGATTTTAAAAATAATTCCATTTAGAGTTGATTTGAGGCAGTACATTCAATAGCGATCATGTCCAGGGGATCTAAGAATGCTTAACTCCTGCCCTGCCAACTAGCCCTCCTCTTCACTAGGGCTGTGCATAGAAAGAATTCGTTATCATTGAAGCATGTAAAATAATTTACTGATTGTTATGCATATAGCTAGAACCTGGATTTAGGCTTGGGCTGAAGGGACATCCTACTTCTCCTGACCTGCCCACACTTCATCTTGCCTTTTGTCTCCCACACTGCCCTTGTAAATTAGGGACCTTACTGCCTTCTAGCAGTGTCAAATGGAGGAGGAAGTTAAGCCAAAAGAGCCCTTTAGACACTGTGACATTGACTAACTTCGAATCCAGTTATCCATTCTGCTGTCTGGATGTGGAAGAGGGAGATTGCAAACTTCAGTCTGTACATCCCACTAGTAATCATAGATCACTCACCAATCAGATCAACAATTTACCTTCCCTTGGTTAGTAGCTAAATAAAAGACATGGATGGCCAGTAAAGGTTGACGTGGAGAGAGAACAGGCTGAGTTCCCCTTGACTACACATATTTTATGCAAGGCCCTGGAGAGGACAAGCAAATCAGGTGTGTGTACAGACTAGTTTCCAGGGGCTTCATTTTGTAGGGAGAGAAAGAGAGGGAGAGATTTGAGACAACTGCCACCTCGAGTTAGGATAAAATATTCAGCAGTGAATTTCATGATATTGAACCCAATCATAAAGAATTTGCCTCAAACACAGGTTTTCGGTTTTTTTATAATACTTTAAATCTAATTATGACTTAGTGATGCTTGAGTCCATTTTTACCAATAAAGTGCTTGATCTTTTAAAAGAGTTCTCTAGTGTTGAGTATAGGCCTTTTTTATGTTAAGACTTTTGCGAATTAAAAGCTCAATTGCAGTGCTGTAATGTCATGAAAATTTGTTCCAGAGATGAAAAAAACATTATAAGAAATTATTCTTTTATTGTGATCTATAACAAAGGGATTGAGTTGGCAGGTGATTGCAAAGAAAAAAAACTGTGGTAGAAATTTCAGAATTAAAATTTTTTTCTTATGTGGGTATGTGAGCCTGTGTTTTTAAATTGCAGCACAAACACGACTATCAGAACTTCATGATGAAATAGAAAAGGCAGAACAACAAATTTTAAGAGCTACTGATGAATATAAACAAGTGGAAGAAGCTATACAACTGAAAAAGGTTTGTAAAAAGAAAATAGAAATGCTAAGAGGAAATGCAACAATGTTCCCTTCATTTTTCATAGAAAACAATTTTACATCAAGGCTGCATAATTAAGTATGGAATAATTTCAAAGTCAAATGGGGTTACTATTATTTGCCCGTTACATTTTCCTTCCATTAATGATGTCATCCTTTGAGCATTTTACTTGCAAATTATGTAAAAACATGTACTTAGTCTATTGTATTATAAAAGCTGCTATTTTACTCATGGAAATGGCTTCCTGATGTATTTCTTCTAATTTAGTGCCTCCACCCTTTTAAGGTTTGAGGGCCTGGATTAAGACAGCCTTACTGTACGATTAGTATTATAAAAAACAAGCAGCAGAAAAGTAAGTGATATAAAATATGGTATACACAGAGATGGAGGTGACATTCAGAAATGACCTAAGTACATCAAAGAAACAGTTCAAAAACATGGTATAATTGCATAGGAGGAAAACGTAAAACAAGTGTTTTGATCATTTAGTTTTTAATTCTGTCAGAGTTTTTAGTTTAAACATTAAAATTGTATTTCATACATACATATTTTGTTTCTTTAAAATGTTTTACTTGGTGATTGAGAGTGTATGTAGTGAAGCATATACCTGATCAACCCTTTCTACATGTACGTTTCAGTCACGTTGGTTACATTCTTTGAGTTGGAGAACCAGTCTCACTCTCCTTTCTGAGTTCTTCCTGGAGAAAAGATGTGGTGATCTGCTCCCAGGAAGATTTCAGCCTAGGAAATCCCATAGGGCAGTTTTACCCTGTCCTTCATGGAATAAACTCAAAGCTGAGCAGCGTCAAGTATCAATTGTAGATATAAAATAAACAAATAAATTGTAGATATTTTTTTAAAAGATACACTATCATTACTTCAAAATTATACAGTAAATAGATAGTGGTCCAAGTTTATTATATTAGAAGCTTATAATATGCCAGTCACTGACAGCTCGTCCCTGAGTAGTAAACAAAACCAACACATGTACTCCTTTTCATGGACAGACTAAAAGGGGAAATAGACAATCAACAAGTAAAAATAAATAGTTCAACAGGATGGTGACATAATAAAATGGACGTAATTTAGATTGTGGGGACCGTCTGGGCAAATGGCATTTAGATGAGACTCAAAGAATGGGAGAGCACGGAGTTTAGGGTAAAGAGAGTTTCAGTCCTGGAGACACTTTGTAGAGAGAGAGCCCAGGGAGGCTAGAGGTACGTGGGCCAGATTATGCAGGTGTCCTAGGCCACTGTAAATGCCCATAATCTGGATTCCATTCTAAACGCTCTGGGAAACCTTTGAAGGTCTGTGGGTGGTAGAGTGGCCTGATAGTGTTTGTTTATTTTTTATCCCCCCCCCCCTTGTGAAGGAAATAGGAAGGAAAGAAATGTATGTATCTGTTAGGAGGCTATTGTTTACTACAGGCAAGAGATGATAATGGCTTGGGCCAGGAAGATGATGGTAAACATGGAGAGAATGCAGACGGTTTCTAGGCAAAATTTGGCAGCAGAACTCCAGGACATGCAAAGTGGGAGGTGCAGTGGAAGAAGCTATCAAGAATGATTATATAAGAATACTTTAAATTAACACTGGCTAAAACTTTATATAATAGTTGTGAAGTTAATACTATATATATAATTTTGACAGAAGTGGAAGCTTACAAAATGTTCTTAGAAAAAATAGTTTTAGTGAGTAAACATAAGCCTACATTTTTGGAAGTTTGTTTGAAGTGCTGGCAAAGATAAGCTTCAGCCTAGCTTTAAATCATGTTTTAAGTTGGTAAAGATCTCAATTTAATGAGAATTTGTTATAATTTATGATTCTGTAATGTCAATACAGAATTTTAAGTGTTTCTGATTATAAAGGTATTGTGATTGTAAGAAGGACTTGGGACCTATTGCCACTGAGTCAATTCTGACACATAGTAACCATATACAGGGTTTCTGAAACTATAAATCTTTACAGGATAGATAGTCTCATCTTTCTACTAGGGAGCAGCTAGTGGATTTGAATCACCCACCTTGTGGTTAACAACCCAACACCTAACATATAGCACCACCAGGGGTCCCTGACTCTATATGGTCCATGAAAAATACAAAGGAAAAAAAAAAGAAAAGAAAAATACAAAGAAAACAAAGTGCCAAAGTCAAACAAGCCATAAATGCCAAGAAAGGATAGAAGAGTTTATAGAAAAGAAGTACAGAAGAACTTAAAAATGGGTCAAGAAATACCAACAAGCCCATCATTTGCAATAGGTCACTATCAGTATATTATTTCATTTCTTTCTAATCTATTTAATTTGGCATCCTTGTATTTTTACAATTTTTCATAGATTTAAAAAACATGTTTCTATGTTAGAAGTGTTAGGAATAGAAGATAGGATATGAAAGTTATCGCTTTTATACTAGTACTGAGAATTGATTGACTACCTTAATATTTACGCTAGCAAGGAGACTACACGGTAGTGGTGCATAGCTGCACTATCTAGGTTCAAGTCTTAGCTCTCAAAAAATAAAAATAACAGTAACAAAAACCTCATTGCCACCGAGTTGGTTCTGACTCATAATGACACTGTAGAGCAAAGTAGAACTGCCCCTGTAGGTTTCTGAGGCTGTAACTGTTACGGAGCAGAACGCCTCATTTTTCTGCTGCTGTTTTTGAACTGCTGACCTTGCTGTTAGCAGGGCAAAGGGTACATGACATTGATCAAGTTAGTTAACTTTTCTATAACCTAATTTCTTATTTGTAAAAGTAGGATAAATATACTTTCTACTATGTATTTTGCAGATTAAATTACTTAGAATGTATAAAGAGCTTAGAAGAGTACCTGACACACAAAACAAAGCAAAATCATTACCCATTGAGGCAAATCTGACTAATAGAGATCCATAGGACAGAGTAGAACTGGGAGCCTTAAGCTTCATCTTTGTCCTGCAGCGTGGATAGTAGGTTCAAACTGCTCCTCACATCAGGACTAGCAGCCCAGCAAGTAAGCCATTAGACTACCAGGGCTCCTAGTAAGTACCCTATCTATGTGGGATTGCCACGTATCAGAGTCAACTTAATGACTACTGGACTATCATTAATATTATTGTTATTACTATTAATCATTTCCAAATTGCTTATACTAAAATCACAACTTCACTTGTACCTGTTATTATATTATTTGCTTTCATAAACTTTAGAAAATAAGATGTTCTACATCTAATTAGCATAAAAGTTCAAGATATAAATGGAATACACTTATATTTCTCAATATTTTATATTAAAGAACCAATAGGGCATAGAATCTTCTTTAAATTGTAGAATTTGTTTTCTTAAATGTGAAAGTCAGCATGGCTATTTCTTGTTAACTGTGTGTTTGGGGTGGGGAGATTAGATTTCAGAAGCAGAGAAAGATCTTCTTTACAAACAATTGAGTGGTAGGATACAACTTCTAAATGAATTTCGCCAGGAAGCTATGAATCTAGAAAAGCAGATGGAAAAACAAAGACAAGAAATTGCTGAAAAGCAGAAGGAGCTCAAGAACCTGCAAATTACCATAGATAACCTTGACTCCAAAGACCCAAAGCATGTGAGTAAATCAAGGAATGTTGGCTTGTTCTGTGGGGATGAGAATCTCATTCTGTGTAGGCATTACATCTCATTATGTTTAGTCTCTGTGTCTTTTCTGAAAGTTTCTTAGTTTGAAGTACCAATTTGATTGATACATGTGTGTATATACTTCGAGGTGTGCGTACTTAGGATTGCATGTGTGTATGGACATATAGGTGTGCATACATATGGTTGTATGTCTAAAGCAACCTAGGGCTTGGATGGAGTGTTTTTGAAATCATGATGCATGCATGGTATACTTTTTTGTTTCATGAATCATTTTATTAGGGGCTCATACAACTCTTATCACAATCCATATGGTATACTTTTTTTAAGTGGTTCAATTTCATTGTTTTTCAGAGCAAGAGTAATCTACTTCAAAATAATCTAACGTCTGACATTCCTTCTCTTTTATCTTTGCATTAAAAAGCAAGGTAGTCAAATAGGAGAGCAGAAGGAAGCTTAGAATCCGTATTCTAACCTTTATTTAATCATTCATGCAATCATTATGCAAATACTCCACTCAAGTAAGTTGCTTATTCAGATTGTTTTATCTTGTCCTGAAAAAGGAAGCATTTCTCAAGAGTATACCCGATTGAAATGTGGCCAGATGTGGTCAGCTGGCTAGATGATGTGCTTGAGCTCCCACTTCTTTCTGTCTTTACCCTGAGAAATCTTTCTAATGGCTTCTCTTTTAGCTAATATTTCTAAAATAGAAGTAGGACTATCTTACTGGTGCACTTAGAATAATGAAGTTTTATATTCTTTAAAGAGATCTGGATTAGGATGCACACTCACTGCCATCGAGTTATCCCTTCTCACAGCGACTATTATAAGACATAGTGAAACTGCCCCAGTGGGTTTCTGAAACTGAATCTTTATATCAGAGCAGCTGATAAGTTTTGAACGCTGACCTTGCAGTCAGCAGCGTAACTCATCACCAGGACTCCCTTTGTATCAAGAGAAATCATAATATTTAAGGACCACTCCACTGCTATTGAGGCATTTCAAGTCACAATGACTCTCTAGAGGTTTTCCAAAGCTAAAAATCTTTACAGGAGCCGGTAGCCTCCTGTTTCTCTTAAGGAGCAAGTGGTGTGAGTGAACTGCTGACATTGTGGATAGCAGTCCAATGCTTACCTGGCAGCACCACCTGGGCTTTTATAGAAGGACCAAAAAAATGATACTCAGATGCATTGCCATTGAGTTGATGCTGACTCATAGCGACTGGGCACTATAATTGCCTTAAGTGCATTACAAATTATGTAATTATTTTAAATGCTTTTGTAAGATATCATATTACTTTTTTGGGGCCAGTAAATTTTGACAAAGGATAAACCTTACCTTCCCAGATATGAGTCTTGCCCAACAAAAGCCCAAGACGTAGTATTAAAACTTATTTTTTAATGGAAAATTCATTTTATATATTCATATATTCCATAAATTTAATAATTTCACCTAAAATTGTCTGGATTATTTTGGGGAATTATTGTTACATGAAAAAGCCGAGATTTTAAGTCATTTATAATATGGTCTATATACTTTATTTGCATGCATTTGTTGAGCAGTCTGGCATCACTTAGTGGTCCCTGAGGGTAAGAACTGTCTCTTTCTGGTATCGCTATCCTGGGGGGTGAGGGGGAAAGGGGGTGGGCAGCCTTCTGTTCAAGAATGCTTGCTTCATGGAAGGTGGGAGGGAGCCTGCCTAGAGATCCAGCCCAAAGCTCCTTTGCTGCTCCTTCTAACTATAACCTCTGGGTCTAATTAGAACCTGAATGACAAGTAGTCCTGTTTGCTTTCAACAAATGACTGTGATATGGCAGACAACAACAGAAACATGAAAAACAAACAACAAACCACAAACCCACTACTGTGCATGGATTCGGACATAGAGAGACCCTATAAAACAGAATACAGCTGCTCCATAGGGTTTGGTTTCCAAGGCTGGTTCTGAGGCCACATCTTTCCCCCCTGGATTCAACCCATCACTTTTAGGTTAGCCACAGAGTGCTTAACCCACTGTGCTACCCGAGCACCATTTGGCTGAATGTAATTCGGGGTGTTTAATTTCCACTGTATTTATGTAATACATATAAAGGATCTAAATGAGAAGTAGGATTGGCAAACAGGTTTTGAAGGTCACCAAAATTAATTTGTGCTTGTGGAAGTGAAATAAATATAAACTTATTTGGTTTTATTAAAACTGCAAAAGGTACTTCAGGTGGCATCATTAGTCTGAGCACCAAAGGAGGCCATTAAAAAAAAAATCCATTCATTCAGAGTAAACATATTTTCTAATTTGCCCAAATTACCTTATTAGCTGGTGACAGACACTCCATTTTAGGCTCAGAAAATGTGAATAATTTTGCTAAAAGGAAAGAACAAGGTGGCATACATCTGTCTATGTATATGTAGAGGGACTTAGTTAACTTTTATTATCTGAACTATTTTAATAGCAAGTCAAATTTTAAGATAAAATATGGAAAGATTAAAGACCAGCATGACTGAGTAATTACTAGGGAGAAAAAAATATAGTAAGTGCTCAGAATGTATTGCATTGTGGGGCATTTTTTTGCATATGCTGCTGAAGACTATTTTATCACTATGTGAGGTTGGGGACACTCCCCCCTTCCTCCATGGGATGAAATGTAATTTAGAAAGGTTTAATGATTTGCCCAAAGCCACTCTCTAGGAAGAGCTGGTGCTCAAATTTATGGGACAGTGACTCTCTCTCCTTAAAGGGATTGGCGGTCTAAAGAGATTATTTTTAAAATTAGCTCATAGCCTAACCTAGTCAGTTTCCAGCAAACATAATCCAACCTAGTTTTCAAAAGGAAAAGGTTCCACTTAAAAATCAGATTTTGTTTAACTATACACATTTTTATAAGCGGCACAGCTTTCAGAAGAGCAAACACACAAAGGATTATTTGTATTGCCCTTCACGTGCAGGAAAGGCTCTGTAGAAGCAAAAGTAACTGTTCTCTCGGGGTAGTGTGAGCTGCTGCGGAGATTGTGTGTGATTGGTCTTCGGCAGCTTCCTGTGTTGTGATTTAAAGCGGGGAGGGCGGGGCTGGCTTGTAAAGGCTGCTTGTGATTGGACAGGCGTGGCAGCTGCGCTCCGTCGGCCAGGAATGTGGTTTGAAGCGCTGGGAAGTTCCGCGCCTCTGAAATGCTCAGAGAAATGTGCCTGTCAGAAAGGGGAGTGCACATGAGTTTGAAGATAGCGTTAGAAAGCATTCCGCCCACAGTTTCTCTGGTCTCAACGACCCCGTCGTAACAGGCCAGACTCTAAATTAAGGTATGGACATTTTCTCTCTCGCTCGACAAAGGACTTCAAAAGAGGAGGAGTCAGAGATGTAAGTTCCTGTTTTTGTAACAACTCTTTTGTGAGCTGCACGGTAGTAAAGATCGCAGAATCTTTGTCTCCTGTGTGCTTAATGCAAAATATTGACATAGTGAACCAATTCATTTTTGCCCCATATATCAGGAGGTTTCAATGGAAATTTTAATAGTGAATGTTAAAGATGTATTGATATTGCTGTGAGTGCAATGGTTGTTTTCTTGTTCTTTCTAGAACCATAAAAATCTTAAGTTCACGTTAAGAATTTAGCCTGTTATTTGTAGTTACTTTTCCAGAAAGATTTCACATGGCTATTTTTGGGCTATAGGGAGAAGAACAGCTTTGAAAATCCCTACCCAACTTGCCATTCAGTTCTTTTTAGACATCTAAAACTGGGGAGTGTTCTTTTGTAACCAAATGAGCCTTGGATTTGAGAACCTTGGCGCATGTTGTTCAGAATGTGAAACAGCCTCTCCCCTGATGACTTTTTCTTGATGTATTCTTTTAGCCCTTTAATCCTGTGGGGGCAAACTATCACCATGAGGTTGTGGTGTGAGCAGGTAAAGGTTCTCTGGGGGATTATTTTGTCTCCATATGAACAGTTGCCCAAGGAAACACAGGCAAGTTATTTGATGGATCTGAAATTAATGTGTGAGAGTCAGGGTTAGACTAGATGGTTTCCGGTTCCCCCTCCCCCACTCCCTTCACAGTTCACCTGAAAATTACAATCCACTGCTTTCATTAACTCAGTAATGCAATGGCTGTCAAGGGGTGTGGGGTGTGTGTGTGTGTGTGTGTGTGTGTGTGTTAGTAGTAGTACAAGGGTTTACTTTACCTCCCTAGACAAAATGGCTTGGGAGGTCTCCCTCAACTCCTGGTTTATCAAATCTAAAAGCAAAAGACTTTTGTGCCTATTTGAATTTAAACATTTATTTCACATTTCTTTATTTTTCCCTAAGAAACTTTTTAAAAAGGTACACTTTATATGTTTTTATTAAAATCATATTGCTTATCTAATATGAAATTTCTTTAAAACATTTTAAAATCTTATCAAAAACTCTCCTGTATAATCCTTATTAACATTTTGAAAAAAAATTTTTTAGTCTTTTTAGGGTAAGTCAAAAAAGCATTGCTAAATAGGCACAAAAACCTTTATTCAAAAAATATTACAGTGTTACACTCTTTATTTTTCAGCATATCTGCCTTCCATGTCTATGGAATGAGGGTGTTGTTTCCATCTCTCTAACCCTTGCCTGAAGAGTTCTGAGCTCTTCGAAATAGACCACATCAGGAGGGCAGTTTTGGCACCCTTGAGGAGCTCAAAGCATGTTTTCTTTTCAGTGTTCTTTGGGGAAAAAGAAGTCGGCAGGGGAAGATCAGGGCTGTCGTGTGGATCGGGTACGGTGTCCCAATGAAACTTTCACAGGAATGTTCTTACTACACTGAGCAGTTGCGAGATCGTGCTGGAAAAGAATTCCTCATTGCAACTTCCCTGGCCTTTTTCTCACTAATGCAGTTTTAATTTTCTTAAAGTTTCTTTCTAATCCCTCTGATTATCCTATGTCCTTTAAGAAAATCTACCAAGATTACCTCTGTGGATTCCTTACAAAACATCCCCAATAGCTTTCTGAACTTACCTCTCTGCTTTAAATTTAACTGGTCCAGCAGATCTCCTCAGAAGCCAGTTTCGATTGAACCTTTTTTTTTCCTATTTTTTTTTAAAGGAGGTACTCCAGTGAGACAGACTAAGACAAGCGGAAAGAATTGTGTATAGCATCCACCGATCATAGAGACAGGTTTAACCAAGCTTTGCTTGGCATGAATATGTGCATGTATGAACTAGATTTCTAGCAGAAAGACTCGATTTAGCCTTATATAGTCAATTAACTTTTTGAGAACCTGTTAAAAAGACACACTTTAGTGCAGTGAAAAGAACACTGAACTTGGCTATATTACCTACTAGCTGTACCCTTGGAAAAATTATGTCTCTTATTCTCATTTTCCTCAGAAGTGATGCCATGGAAGTGAGCTTGGGTCTCTCTCTCTCTCTCTCTCTTTGTGTCATTTTTTGGTTTATAAAATGGAGATGATTCCTATATTGTTTGGAGGTTTGAAGGAAAATACTCATGTAAAAACAACAAAAGGCCTGCACTAAAATAGATGCAAATTGTTCCATTTTACTTTCCATTCTCCATTTGAAAATATTAAGGATGATAAAAGAAAGTTTTGTTAAATTTTTTCCTTACCATTCAGTCCCATGTGACAGCTCAAAAAAGAGGTCAAGAACAACAACTTGACATTATGAACAAACAGTATAAACAACTTGAAAGCCGTTTAGATGACATACTTTCTAGAATTGCTAAGGAAACGGAAGAGATTAAGGACCTGGAACAACAGCTTACTGAAGGTGAGACTTTAAGTAGAAGTTAAGGTAAGTTAGTGTTCATGACACCCAACCCCAAAAGCCCACGGCCATGGAGGAATTTTGAATCATGACTGTTGAGCAGAAGCACCCCGTAGAGTTTCCATAGAGTAAAATCCCCCCCCCCCAGTTTTATTGGCACCTAAGCCACATATACAACTCAATACGTCAATCGTTCAATCATATCAAGAAGATTTGTACAATCATTACCACAATCAATTTTAGAACATCCCCTCCCATGTTTAAATCGCCTTTAAAATTAGTTGTGTAATCACAGTCAGTTCTAATGCTCCCCTCTCCTGCTTTCCTTGTCTACTCCTGAAATCCTCTTAATCTCCCTCCCTCCCACCCCTCATCCCTACATCCCCTATAAACTGCATTAGTTATTGGCACTATACATCTACTCCTTCTGTGTGTCACAAACTGAGGAAAAGACCCCCATCAATATTTATAAAGCAGGGAAGAAATGTTTGTTGTGGAACAAGTAAGAGATTCTTGCACCTAGAGCAAATTCAGGTTGGGTCTATAGGGAGGTCAGCTGGCCCAGTATCAAGTTTGATCCAGCATAATCAAGATTACAGTGGTCTCTGCCTAATGGTAAGGTTGTTTGAGAAGCAAACGGTGTTAATCCATTTGATTCACACTATTGATAATAGTTAACTTCTTAGTGGACTAACTAAACTCAGAAATCGTGAATCTGAACCACTGCCCATAGGAGACATACAGGGCTAGGTTCCTGTGAACCCCTCATCACATTTTGTCAATCCTGTTTTATGTATTTCTCTATTTAAATACACATTGTTTCATGTATACTGTTGATATGTGAACATTGAATTCACAGCCAACAGCACTGTAACATGCCTGGACAAGCTCATACAACACAAGTATTTTCTTGTAAGGCACATCCCATCCTTTTTGAGCTTACTAAACACTAGTCAGACTCCAGCACTCTACTTGGGGGCCATTGTAAACATTGTAAGGCACAGACATTGTGGAACATGTGGCAATAAATAGACCACTGTTCATTGTATAGGCACAAAAACAAGAAGGCTGAGTGTTTGAACTTAACTGGGAGCATGTGCATTGGGCATCTAAAAATTTTCGCCGCTGTGTATATGCATATCTGAATGACTGAAAAAGTGGTACAGGTACTGACCTGAGGTTATAAATCAATGTGCCTGAGAGGCAAATTCACCATCACAGAACCCGACAGCTGTGAGGATCAAATGTGCAGCACAGTGATAAACTCTGTCATGTGATTGTCTTCTGGGCCATAAAATGCTTTCAGGAGCAGGAAGCCCATTGACCACATGGCGCTCAGTGTCTTCTCATTATGTGGAATATGTAGAGAGGATTTTAGGATTAAATTCTATAAGGCAAATGAAAGTGGTCACATTCCAGTAATGGTGGAAAGGGAAACCAATAGTCGGTAATGGTGACAGTTGAGGGTTCTGTGAAGAGGACCGGTCCCTGTTTGCTCTGATCAGCTGTGTGACTTGCACAACTTCTATTTTGCACATTATTCGGAAGAATTAAATGAGGTTTGTGTTCACAGAATGCCTAATACATCGTAGGTACCATATACTTGTTACTGTGTTTTAAGTCTATAGGTAGTATGTTTATGCTTCCAGTGCTAGGCACTGGATTCATTTTATGCATTAAGGGGTTCTATTTTATGCATTTAACTGTCAGAACTCAGTTTTGCTGTACATTTTTATTGCTTTATTGGAAATTATTACTTTAAGTTAAAAAAAAACAAAACATGGGCATGGCTGTGATCCAGAAAACGTTTTATTTACAAACACCCAAATTTGAATTTGAATTTTCACCTCATGATACTTTTTATACAGACTTTATCAGCCATTTTCTAAGCACTTCCCACTAGATGTACTATTTCTTATTGCATGCCTGGCTGGTTCTTCTATATTGAGGATAATAAGGAAGGAAAAAAAAACCCTATCATTACATTGCAGAAAGGAAAAATAAGGAAATAATTGAAATCCTGTAATTTTATAGGTAGCTTTGTAGCAAATTGTTAAGGAGACTAAATATGTATCTTGAAAACTTTTTCTTGTCAACATTATTACCTTTCCTTCTCCTATCTTCCTTAGGCCAGATAGCAGCAAATGAAGCCCTCAAGAAGGATTTAGAAGGTGTCATCAGTGGTTTGCAGGAATACTTGGGGAGTGTCAAAGGTCAGGCTACTCAGTCCCAGAATGAGTGCAGGAAGCTACAGAATGAGAAAGAGGTGTTGCTGCAGAGATTGACCGAAGTTGAGCAGGAAAGAAACCAACTGGAAATCGTCGCCCTGGATGCAGAAAACATGAGAAAGGTATGAGTGGTCTCCTCTTGCCTGTTTCCCTCAGCCACAGATTTAGAGGATACCCTAAGTCGATGAGCAATGATGCAGTTGTAAGTGGTGAGAAGTATTAGTAGCTGTTTGGTAGGCAAAGTAGTTCTTTGCCTACTGCTTTTATATTTGCTTATGAAAATTATGCTTGTTCATGTACTTTTATTTGATTATTTCCTATTCCATTATATATACATAAATCTGATTATTCATTCTTAAGGGACATGTAGGTAGTATATCATGCTGTTACGGTGCTGTGAGTCGCTTCTTGGTACAAGTTTGGGTCATGGGACTGTCTTCAGTAGTGAACTCTGCTTCAGAGAGAGGGTGAATTCTCCAGGCTTTAGGTATTGTCAACTTCCTATCCAGAATATTCTACTGATTTCTGCCCCTGCACTCGTGATAATATGTGGGCTGCCCTACCCCGTTCTTCCCAGCACCTTATTTTTTAAGCTTTTATTTTAAAATAATTTCAAACTTAGAAGAGAATGTTAAGAATAGTACAAGTAACTCACGTATGAGGAGGCTCCAAAATGTTTGTAGAAAAATGATAATTTTCCATGAATGTTTGATGTGTCACCCAGATTTGCCAAGTGACATTTTGCTGTATTTGTTTTATTGCCCTCTTAAATAATTTTACATGGTTTTTATATTTCCTGAACCATTTGAAAATTAGTGGCAGGCCATTGCCTCTATAAATAGTTCAGTTTTCAACATTGATACAAAACAATTAGCAAATTCAAGAACTATAACATTCTGTCACTGTCAAATTCACATTTGCCAATCTGTTGAGTTTGAAATGGTCTTTTCCCCCGTCTTTATATTATACATTTTTTATCTGTATGGAAAGTTGGAAGACTATTTGAGTGAACATCCATGTGCCCTCCAGTTTACCAGAACCTTCTTCTCCAGTTCCTCGTCTTACAATAGGGTTGATCATAGCTTGCATGGCACAGTTCCTGTGTTGATTCACTGACACCATGAATGTAAAAACAATGTCCAAAATTAGCTCTACCATTTTACTTTTCCTCTGTTTTGTCCTTCCAGTTTCCTTCCTGTATATGTAGACTCATTTAAAGAATCACAGACCAGTTCCGTGGTGGTGTAGTGGGCTCGGCGTTAGGCTACTAACCTCAAGGTTCTTACCAGTTTGACTCCACCAGTTGCTCGAGGGAGAAAGATGAGACTTTCTCCTCTCTTAAAGATTTACAGCCTCGGAAACACTAGGGAATAGTTTGACTCTGTCTTATCCTCATGAGTTGAAATTGACTCCATGGAAGTGGTTAAAATATATATATATTTTAATCACTTAAGAGGTTGGTAGCTTTCTGGTTTTCCCAATTATATTTAATCAGGACTTTGCTTCCCAAGCTAGATATGCTTGGTCTGAGGCTTGAACAGATAGCTAATGAACACTCTCTGCCAGGCCAGCAGTGGTTGACAGTGCTCAAGTTACTCATCATGACTTGCAGGTGCTCAGGTAGGCCCATGGGTTCCATGGGTAAGCATACTCTGAATTCTTCCAGGAGCTTGCAGAGCTGGAAACTGCCCTCCAGGAGCAGCATGAGGAGAATGTGTCTCTGCAGCAGACCCAGGGAGATCTTAGTGCCTATGAGGCGGAGCTAGAGGCTCAACTAAGAATGAGGGATGCTGAAGCCAGCCAGCTCAAGGAAGAGCTGGAAAGACTAACAAGACTTAACCAGGTAAGAAGCAGAGAGCCATCTCAAAACCGAAGTATTTTTAAGATAACAGGCCTTATTTCCAGTTATATCTTAATTTAAGATCGAATGCATTTATTTCATAACATATGGAGTGCTGGTGAGGCAAATGGTGAAGCTGAGCTGCTCATTGAAGTGTTCGTAGTCTGAATGCACCCAGAAGAAGCTCCATTGGAGAAAGATTGGCAATCTGCTTCTCTAAAGGTTATAGCCAAGAAACCCCTATGGGGCAGTATTCTGCTCTGTCACATTACTGGGAGTTGAAATTCGTTAGATGATAGCAGCAAACGGAGAAGAGGGTAAGGGCCTCATTTTTGGAGTCAGATATTCTGAGTTCAAATACTTACCCTCAGTGAACTTGAGCAGGTCACTTCATGGCTCCAAGCCCGTTTCTCCTTGATAAATGAGTTTTGGTAAGGTTCAGTGAGTTAATAATGGCTATGAAAACACTTAGCAGTTCAATAAATCATACTTGTTTGTAGATCAGCTTTAAAGGATGTTTTTTAAGTTGATGTTAAAATTTATTTTGATGTATCTATTATGATTGTATTATCCACTGACATAAATGATACTTGTAAATTAGGAAAATAGTTATTCATATAGTAGTAGTTATTGATTGATTACAGAGGGCCAGGTGCTGTGGATGCTAGAGGGAACAATATACTAATAGTTACACTATCCTTGTGGAGCTGATAATCCTGTAGATAAAAGCTACCGAAAAACTGGAAGATGAGCATTTTACACCAAGAGGCAAAGAGAAAGCGCATAGTACATTTCAGACATTGAAAGGACGGCTCCAGTATGGCAGTGTGTCAGTCTGGATAGACTAGAAAAACAAACCCATTGACACTCATATGTGTTTAATAAAGAGCTTTATATACAAGAGTAATTGAATATTGAGAAAACATCCCAGCTTAGTCGAGATCAAGTCCAAATAAGTCCAATATTAGCCCATATGTCTGATACCAATCTATAAAGTTCTCTTCAGACTCACGAAACACATGCAATGACGCCGAATGCAGGAAGATCACAGGCCAGTGGGTGGGAAATCTTGTGGATCCAGTGGTGTTGTAGGTAGTTCAGCACTGACAGGGGTCTCCACATGGCTTCTCCATCACCCAGGGCTTCATCAGGGTAGGTCCATGTGGCTTCTCCTCAGGGATGTCTTGCAGGGAGTCGGCCTTGTCAGTCGAGGGTCTCCAAGGGAGTGAGCAGAGAGAGTCTCCTGCCTCCAAGGAGGAAATGCCAGAGTTCCCAGAATCCTCAGGAGAAGGCCATGGCCACACAGAGACCTCATTGGCTATATCCTGATTGACAGGCTAGACTCCACCCCTACACTTGATCTTCAAATTGACACCAGATTAACTACCACAGGCAGGAGCAAGGAGAGCGGGGAAAGAGGATGAGAGAGAATGGCCAGAGAGGTGGGCATTGGATAGACCTGAGTGACTATTAAGGTTATGTTACAGATTCTGTTTTTCAGCTGTAGAGGAAGGTGTGAAGTAGGGAAATGGCATGATCAAATTTGTATTTTTGAAGATGACTGACTGTGGTTGCCTAGTGGAGAATGGATTGGAGAGGAGCAGGATTGGAGCTAGGACGGTCTACTTAGAAGACTGTACAGTGTTACAAATGAAAGGTGATAAAAGCTCAACCAGGGTGGCAGTGGTGGCAATGGCGAAAAGTGAGCAGGGTCAGAAGGTTGAGTAAGGAGGTAGGACTGCCAGGACTGAGGAAGTCAGGGATGATTTTCAGGTTTCTGGCTTGAATACCTGGATGGATGGTTAGCAGTTCCATTAACTAAAACCAAGAACAATGGTTGGAGGGTAGATTTGGCTGAAATTTACTCTAGGCACCAATGAAGGCATCCCAAAAGAACTCAACTGTAGGGAGCTCAGGAGAGAGAGTTTGGCAAGGATAAGGATTTGGGTGTCATGCGCATACAGAGGAGAAGTTTAACCATGATCATTGAGAGATCATCCAAGCAGAGTATATAGAGTGAAAGAAGAGACCTAGCATAGAGCTCTTAGAAACAAGATTATTTAAATGAGAGGATAGAGGAGAAGGTGCCTACAAAGGAGACCAAGAGAAGGAGCAAAATCAGGTAAATGTAGTTTTTGATGCCAACAGAAGAGATTATTTTAAAGAGAAAATGGGCAGGGTCAGGTGTTCTTGAATGTTCTCTCGGGATGAGGACCATGATGCACCCGTTGTCCTTAGTGGTATAGACTAATGAGTGCAGTGTCTATGGAGTAGTAGGGATGGAAGCCAGTTTAGAATGGTAAAGGATTGGAGCCAGGTTTGACCTGGAAATGCAGAAAGGAGGCCAATAACTTGAAATAAATGCAATTGAAAGAGAATTTCAATTAAGAGGAAAGGGACATGTTTATAGACAGAAAAAAATAGTTAAAAGGAAAAGGTTGAAGGAACAAGACATAGAATAATTAATAGCACAAGATCCTGAGAAGACAGAGAGGAACAGAATTAGAGTTCACATGGAAAGGTGAACCTTGGACCACAAGGACAATTCCTTCATTGTAGGAGGAGAGAAAAGGAAAGGAGGAAGGAGGACGAGGGCAGGTGAAAGCCCAGGACTTCCAGGACTGAGAGTAGGTAGCATAATAGAGTTTTCCTCTTGGTCCCAGCTCTGCACATCTCTGTTGGGTTAAGTCTATGCATTGAAATACCTTGGGAAGCTGGAAATGGGTGTTCCTGAGCTCCAGAGAGTCTGATTCATTAAGTCTGAGGTAGGGTCCAGGCATCTTCCTTTTTGATAAAGTACCAGGCGATTTTGAGGTAGGTACTAGAAGACCACACTCTGAACAATAGTGGTTTAAGGAAAAGGAGAGCAGTAATTATTGTTTGGATCACTAGCAGGTTTTAAAGGTGTGTCGTTTATATATCCCAGGGCTCCACTCTGAAGATTCTGAGTTGGGGTGTCAAAAGTGACTTAATTTTGATAACTTGCTTCTCATTGCATAGTAATAATTAAAGGGGGCATGTGAGAAAAAAAAATCTTGTTTCTTTTTACCTGGAAGTACAAGAAAAGCTGAGCTACTATAAAACTTTCACAAGAGATTATATTTACGTGTAAATTGATTGATACCTTTTAAGATAGTAAATCATTGCTCTTGTCCAACTTCACATTACTGCTTCCTATTGTACTAGCTACAACAATCAGCCCTTCAGGCAGAACTTGAGAAGGAAAGGCAAGCCCTGGAGACTGCCCTCGGAAAAGCTCAGCTTTCAGAAGAACAGGAGCAAGAAAACAATGCGCTCTGCACACAACTCAGACAGCTACAGGTAGAGGGGTTTCATGACTGTATGTAGGGCACCTGGTGTCTTTCTCAACCTTTCTCTTAATTGCCTGCTCTAACATGTAGTAAATAACCGGAGTAATTAGACAGAAGAGCACTCTGGGTGGAGCTGCCCTATCGCATATATCTCCTGTGAGTCTACCATTCTAGGAGGAAAAGCATGTGTGTTTTATGATGGTGCAACATGGTGGGAAAAGTGTCGACAGTGTGCAAAGCAGCGAGGGAGAGTGGGGCATGACATTCCCAGGTGCTATGGATACAAAAGATGCCTGTCTGAGGCAGCTGGACAGGAGTTGAGCAAGCATTTCTGTTGACATATTGCACTATTAATATCTATTCATCTTGAAATTGGGGGTCAGAGTGAGAGCACAACTTGGAGCTTGCTCGCTCCCAGGTGCTGGTTACCCTCACTTCACCTCTGATACAGAGTAGTACTGTGAAAATTCATGTACCAAAAGCAATCCATGTACTGGTATTTTTCTTTGAACTTTTCATTGTGATTCAGGTGAAAGTTTACAGAGCAAATTGGTTTTCCATTGAACAATGAATACAGATTTTCTTAGTGTGCAATCCTGACAATGTAAAATAGCTCTTCCTACTTGCTTCTTGTATTTGCAGTTTCTATTTCTCCTACTTTTACCTGCCTTCTGAGTTTTATGATTGTTGTAAGAAGCATACCTCCCAAGTGATGTTATTCACTAGTGTGCACGCCTGCCTGTGGTTTGACTGCAAGTTGAATCATGGGGGTGAGATTTGTTCCAGGGTTGAAGAGCGGTGTTTTTGTTTTGTTTTGGGAGTGGGGGAGTGTTCACATCAGTTATCCTGGCATTTTTATGACTGCATTTTGTTCCACATTTGTCTTCCACTCTATCTAAGACATCCTATTGTGATTCCCGTCAGAGCAGTCAGTAGTGGTAGTAGGGCACCATCTAGTTCTTCTGGTGCTGGGCTCAAGGAGGCTGTAATTCATGTGGTCCACTAATCCTATGGACTAATTGTTTCCTTGTCTTTGATTTATGTTTTTCACCCTTCTTTGCTCCAGATAGGGAAAGACCAATAGTTGTGCTGTAGATGACCACTTCAGAGCTTTAGGATTCTAGTCACTACTCACCAAAATAGAAGATAGAGCTTTGTTTTTGAGACCTGTGTTATGCTAATTGACCTTGGTGTCTCCAGAGAATGTAGTCCTGAGCTTCAGACCCAGGGACTTATTCCTTCGAGGTATTTAGGTACGGCTAAGAAATTTTCATAGCTTCCCTTCGTGTGCTCCATATGCATGGATATAGTTGTAGCACATGTAAATTATATATATATGCATCTGCTGCCAAACCTGTATATAGTTGTGGGTATAGTCCTGTTGTTTTTGTGGGTATAGTCCCTTTAGCCTTCCCAGCCTTGTTTAGCTTGGTATCCACTAGTAGATTATTGTCATTACTGTTACTGCCATATTGGGTGTGTATATGGTAGTATTTACCTTTGTTGCCTTTCATTATTGTACATTTTTCTCCCAGTGGCTTACTTTGTCTTAATCATTTTGTGCTTAACCACCCCCTTCTTGGATATTGCTTTTCTCTCATACAAGTTATTTTGTGCCCACATTCTAGTTATTGATTTACCCTTCTTCCCCTGCCCACCTTTGGTAACTATGTTTCTTTGTGGGAGACCAGCCTCCCCACAACTGAATTGGGGCCAAGGGGGTGGTTGTGTAATTGAAGGGTAAATTAAAGGAAAAATAGACAAGGCGTGCAAGGCCTCACCTCTTTCATGGTGACTGGAACCAGGATGAAGCTGTAATATATTCCCTCATGAGCTTATAGAATCTCAGGCATGCAAGCCATGGCAAGCACATATGTAACAGAAAGGGGTTGTATTAGAGGCATACATGTAAATTTTTTTTGGTTTTTTTTAAAAATCATTTTATTAGGGGCTCATACAACTTTTTTTTTTTTTTGCTCATACAACTCTTATCACAATCCACACACACATCAATTGTGTAAAGCGCATTTGTACATTTCATTGCCCTCGTCATTCTCAAAACATTTTCTCTCCACTTAAGCCCCTGGCATCAGGTCCTCATTTTTCCCTTCCCTCCCTGCTCCCGCTTCCCTCATGAGCCCTTGATAATTTATAAATTGTTATTTTGTCATATCTTGCCCTGTCCGACGTCTCCCTTCACCCACTTTTCGGTTGTCCGTCCCCCAGGGAGGAGGTCACATATTGTTCCTTGCAATCGGTTCCCTCTTTCCTATCCACTCTCCCTCTACCCTCCCTGTATCACCACTCACACCGCTGGTCCTGCAGGGATCATCCGCCCTGGATTCCCTGTATTTCCAGTTCCTATCTGTACCAGTGTACATCCTCTGGTCTAGCCAGACATACACGTAAATTAAGCTAGGCGTATACACACAATAGGAAGGGAGGTACTAGAGCAGTGGTTCTCAACCTTCCTAATGCCATGACCCTTTAATACAGTTCCTCGCGTTGTGGTGACCCTCCAACCATAAAATTATTTTTGTTGCTACTTCATAGCTGTAATTTTGCTACTGTTATGAATCGGGTGACTCCTGTGAAAGGGTCATTCGACTCACAAAGGGGTCGCGACCCACAGGTTGACAACCGCTGTACTAGAGGCATACATGTGACAGAAAGGTACATACATAGCAAGATGGGAAGATTCTATAGTCAAGATGGCAGCCTAACCTTGGTCGTCTCTGAGCTGGCTTGACCTTAAGTTCCCTTGAACTTTTCTCCAGGGGAACAGTCTATGATCCTGAACAGAAGGGAATAACAATTTGAAGGCCTATTAGGGTGGAATGGTCTGACTGCTTTTGATGACAGAAAACCTTTAGGCAGATAGCCTTCAAGCAGTTAACCTTCAAGAGTGTAGTAAGCAACCATGCCTTCCAAGTAGCACCTTAAAATTGTCATTATTTCGGGGGTGGGGGAATGCCGTCGGGAATAACTTAGGAGAGTGTGACTGGGACACATCTCCACCCCATGAAAATGAAGGCCTCACGCGAGGCCACAGCCCCAGCCTCCCAGAATTATTCTTTAAAAAAAAAATTTTTTTTTTAGACTTCTTAACATATGAGCCGAATACATTCTACTCTTACCGGTTCTCGGTCTCCAACATTTCTTTTTGTGTGTAAATCTTATCTTGATTTTTTTTTTTTTGTCCAGTAGTGGGCTCATATATTTGTCCTTTTATGATTGACTCATTTCACTTGGCATAATGCCCTTTAGGTTCATCCATATTATGAGATGTGTGTGTATATTTGTTTTTCCATCCTTCTAATGAGAAGGGGTTCTTTTGTTTATTTTGTGACTTTTATTTCTTATTTATCAAGTAGTGGGATTGCTGAAGCATATGGTATTTCTCTTCCATTTAAAAAAATTAAATAAATCATTTTGTGCGGGCTCTTACATATAACAAACCATACATCGATTATCTCAAGCGGACATGTACAATTATTGGCATCAACAATTTCTATACACAAGCAACTGTGTCTAGCAAGGCCAGACTTCAGAATTCCAAAAATAAACAACCTTATCAAGGTGATGGAGAGGGGTCAAACTAGAGACCCAGAGGCCATCTGTGGATAATTGGACATCCTCATGCAGAGGGGCTGCACAGAGGAGAAAATGCATCCAGGGGGCAGTTTAGCACTGACGAAATACACAACGCCCCTCTAGTTCTTTAATCCTTCCTCCCCCCACTTTTATGGTCTCAGTCCAATCTCGCAATTCCCTCTAGCCTGTGTACAGACAGTGGCACAGGTGAGAGCTTTCAATATACGGAATTCAGGAGAGACAAACCCCCTCAGAAACAGTAAAGGGAGCAACAATTCCAGGAGAATGGGGGAAAGGAAGGGGCGGAAAGTAGGGAAGGAAGGGGGAATGGATAGCAATGATGGATGGCAATAACTCCCCTTGGGAAGAATGTCAGGATAGTAGGGGAAGGGATAGAATGGGCGGTGTAAGGTATGTATAAATAATAACAATACATAATATGTTAAGCGCTCGCCAGGGTGACAGGGTTGGGGAGGGAGGGATGAAAAGGAGAAGCTGATATCTTTTCAATTTTTGAAGGAAGCATCATACCATTTCCCGCTGAGGTTACACCATTTTTCAGCCCCACTAACAGTGTATATGGGTTTGAATCGCTTCACCTTTGCCAGGATTTGCTTTCTGGCTGTGTTTTGTTTGTTTGCTTTAAACTTTGTTGTTAATGGTGGGGTAAGATGAGATGATAGCTCATTGTTTCTTTGATTCACATATCTCTAATGGCTAATGATCTGGAACATTCATGTCTTGTGAAATGTCTGTTCACGTCTACTGCCCTTTTTATTTTTTTAGTATATGTGCTGCCGAAGCAATCACTACTGCCCATATTTAAATGGTTTTCAGTGATACCTTTTCTTTTTCTAAGCTGCAGATTTGTCACCAAACTGAACTAAAATACTCAATTGTCAGCAGGCCTCCAGTGTGCCTGGGTCCCGTGTGACCCTGTGACTCCTACAACATAGTGCTTGTAATAACACTTTGAAACGGGTTGAGGCCTTGCTCTAGACAGTGATTCTCAACTTTCCTAATGCCGGGACCCTTTAATACAGTTCCTCATGTTGTGGTGACACCCCCCACCCCAACCATAACTGTAATTTTGCTACTGTTATGAATCGTAATGTAAATATCTGATATGTAGGATGTATTGTTACCAATTGAACATAATTAAAGCATAGTGATTAATCACAAAACTATATAATTATATATTGTGAAATATTTGTGTTTTCCATTGGTCTTAGGTGACCCCTGTGAAAGGGTTGTTCGACCCTCAAAGGGGTCTTGACCCACAGATTGAGAACCGCTTCTCTGTACCATCTTCAGAGCAAGGTTATAGACGTTTTAGATATCTGGAAATAAAAACAAACTGCCAGATCGGTGCATTTTTCTTCCACTGAAATATCTTCATAATTTTCCAGGAATTAAGTAGATTGCATGTTCCAGGAGAATTTTAAAATTCCAAGCAGTTTGCTCAATCCCCTTCTCAGACAGAATGTGATTAAAAATGCAATCATTTTATATTAGCCAGCATTTTCTCTGGCAGGATATTTTAATGGCTATTGTCATGATCCTCTGTCCAACAAACTGCCGGAGAAGCAGGTGGGTGATATTTTCCAGACAATTAAACTTCCTTAAAGAGTACAGGTGGCAGAACAAATAAGTCCCTGATCAGCCCTCAGGTGTCCAAGCTGTGAGGTGAAGATCCTGGCTGGCAGGCTGGACTGGTAACTACTAATCTTGATCTGAAATCAGAGAGCAGCTTGCAGATAGTTTGGAGGAAGGCTTCCAAAGAGCCAGGTGGGATTTGTGACAAATAACACCGAGTCCGTTCAGATTATTCCCCTCCTCTCCTAACACCTTGAATATTTTCCCCTCAAAAGTTTAGGGAAATATATTAACTTGACATTTAATTTTTACCATTTGTGTATTTCTCTATTATTGTATGAATTGTGCATATATTACTTTTCATTAGATTGCGTTTCTTTTTATTTTGGAATCTTAAAATAAGATAGCTTTATGAGCCCCCTTCTTACCTAACTTAAACATTTATCAGCATTCTGCCATTGTTGTTTCATTGAGTCCTCTTTTTTTCCTGTAATATTTTTAAAAACTCATGACTCTTTTACACTTGTAGTTATCTCAGTAATATATCTCACAGTAAAAGGACTAACATATTCTTCCTGGGCCTTCTCAGCGAAGGTGGAAACTGAAATTCGCCTTCCAGACTGTTGGTCTGTGTTGTGAGATGACCTTAGTGAGAACTCGGTCTTTGGTTACTTGGCCTACAAACTTCCTGCAATAGAGTGCAAGTTTAACACTGTCCATTTATCTTTGCCAGAAACCAAACCCATTCACATTGGCTCAAGAAAGCAGGTGGCTTGCTAAGAACTGGAGCTGCTCTCTATATTTTAGGAGCTACATGAGTTTCATTTCTCCTTCATCTTTAGGCCCAGGCATGCACTGATGTCTCTCTGCAGGTGCAGCATGCACTGCAGTTTGCTGTACTGAATCTTGCTTTCCATTTTGGGCAAGAAGAACTTGTTTTAGGGCCAGTCAGTAGGTGGTGTCACCTGTGAGTGGGATTGGATGTAGCATAAAGAAGGATGCCTTCAGGCACTGGGCAGGGGCATTTTGGAGAAGAGGGCTCCAGATCAGACAGGCAGTTAAACACATGTTAACCACATGCCACCTTCTCATTTTTAACAGTGCAATGATGAATTTGAATTAAGTTAATCACTTGGGTAGATTACAGTTTTAACTGTATAATGCTATAGTTTAGGGAAATTTTAGCATTTTTGGAAAGAGGCACTGTCGAAATTTATTCCTGTGGTCTAGATATGTTCACCAGCTACTTAGTAGTGAAAATATGCTGCCATATAACAAACTCTGCTCCAGAGAATGAGAAAGTTTCCTAGAAGCTTCATTATTGGATATTCCATTTTTCAGTTGGTTAGCAGATTGAGCTGATTATTATGAAAAAGTGTTGTGTTTTCATTTGAATTATGGACATTCTCAATCATGTACAAAAACTAGAGAAACTACTGTAGGGAAACCTTCACCAGCTTGGGTGGGACGCATCACTCAGCTTCCGCAATGACTGACACAGGGCCAATCCTACTTCATTATAAGCTTTCCATGTCCCATCCCTCACAGCTGAATGATTTTGAAATAAATCCCAGACATTTTATGTATAAATAGTATGCTATTGTATGTATCTTAAAAATAACAATAAAGGCTTCAAAAATCATACAATAATATTGTTGCCCCTCTACATGATAATGACTCCATCATAGTTGCTCTGCGTTGGAATGGTCTTGATGGCAATAGGTGTTAATATTATCAAATAACTTGTTTAGTATTCGATTTTCCAAATGTCTAACAGTCCTACATTATAAATGAGTTTTCTTCCTATGTCTTTCTTTAAGTTAAGTTTGGATGCAACTACGTTTATTTACATATGTACATGCCTGTATTTAGACCTCTATATATGGTCCCGTTGTTTCTTCTAATTGTTTACCTCTCCTAGCTTATCTAGATAGGTCTGCAGAGATAATAATATGCACAAAAACAAGACAGAGTGAAACAAAGCAACAAAAGAAAACAATACAACAGCAACAAAAAAACAATGACAATGATAAAAGAAAAGCCTATAAATAGTTCAGTGTCTGTTTGTTGACCTTTAGGAATGTTTTCCCGTTGAGTCTGATGGGGTGCCACGCCCTGGCCCCAAGCTCTATTTTTGGTATTCCAGAATGCAATTCCCACACTGTGTCTCCAGTATTGTCCCCTGTAGGGCCATGGGTCAGTGAGGGATGTCATGTCTCCTAGTTGGGCTGGCCCTATGGTCCTCTCTGTGCATTGCCTGATCTGAGCAGGGATATCATCCTCAAAGCTTGGGAGCCCAGGATGTGCTCCACTCTCTTCCTCTCTATTCATTTGCTCCTGTGTGCTCTGATCAGATATGCCCCTCTCCCTGAGCTGTAGCTTCAGTGCTGTCCTCTGAAGTAAATTCTTCTGCGGGGAAGGGTGGCTGTCCACATAGTTAGGATTGGGGCCAGCCCCTACCTCAAATTTTTAATGGGCTTGGTTTGTAACTGGGTTGCAGAGTGTGCCTATACCTCATGAATTTTTAACAATTGTTTTGTTCAAACCCAGATCCACAAAAGCTAATCATTTAGTTAACTTGCCCCTTTAATTTTTATAATCTGTAAATCTCTACCTCCTTTTTGTTTTCCTATGTGTTGTAGAAAGTCACGTCTTTGTCTTTACAGTTCCCCATATGCTAGATTTTACTGTCACATTGATTGGCTTACTTAAATTTATGTTAGTATGTCTTTTTTACAGGTAGTTTTTTGGATCACAGCTTGAGACAGGATCATGGCTAGCCATGATCATTTAAATTGACAAAAGGACTTAAATAAAATGATCATATGACAAGTAATATACAGGCCGGAGGGGCTTAATTTTGTTGTTTCTGAGAAAAGCATATACATGACACATGTAATTTAGTGAAATTGACAAGAGTCTTTGAGCTGTGCAACCTCTGTCCCTTTCTGAGTTCTTCCTCCCCTGTTAGCAAATTCAGGGTCCTGTCTAGTCTCCACATTGCTATTCTCACCGTGATCTTGTTAGACAGTTCTTTAAAGCACATCATGCTCAAGGAACACCAGTTTTACTACTTAAGCTAAACTGTTGTTTGGCTTTAAGAAGACTTTCGTTTAAATTTTGAAGACTATTTCAGAGCAGTAGTTTCAGGGATTCATCCAGTCCCCTGGGCTCCAGAAGGTAGGAGTCTGGGAGAATTTGAAATTCTGTTCCGCATTCTCTTCCTTTCGTGCCTCCCTTATCACTATGTTTATTGCTCTGGCTCCTGGTTCTGCTGCTGCTGTTACTCTTCCTGTGTGAGAGCTATCTTCCTGGATCAAGGCGGTTCACTGCATAGGGGGTTCAGGGTCCAGAGGACATGCTTCGTTTCTGGCTCTTGGTGGTAGCGAAATTCCTCCTCCTGTTTCTGGGATGACTCATTTTATTCTTCGTAGATGACAATCACAGTGATTCCTGTTAACAAGATTCACAACAGAATCCTATCAGTATCTTTCCCCATCTTCTCTTACCCAGACCCATAAGGAAAAGGTCATTTTGGGGAGGGACAGAGACTATGGATAGAAAAGCCACAATAAATAATTGTGCGAGCTCATTTTGATTAGGGTTCTATGGGATCCATCTTTTGGTCCTGTAGTAAAGGAGGTGTGGGCATGTTTTCAATTTTGTTAACTTTTCTTTGCCCAACTCACCCCCTTCCTTAGGGCGACAATAACGTGTTAAAACAGCAGCTCAAAGATTTGCAGAATCATCTCAGTCATGTGGCTAATGGTTTGATTCATCCGGAAGAAGTCATAGCTCGGGTAGATGAGCTGCGGCGAAAGCTGGAGTCAGGAGCTGGGGAAACAAGGTAAGGGAAATCAGGACTGCCAAGGTGTGAGTCACCTTGGTTCACTGATAGACCCACTTTTCCAAGTGCTGTTCACAAACGATTTACTGGGTGAGACTTCCTTTTTCCATGACTGAGAGAGCATTGTGTAATTGGAAAATTTTATTTCAGATTTCTCTTTTATTTTACATATTTTATACTTTTTGGTAGGTTTTTTGTTTTGTTTTCTTTTCGGTTTTCAGATTTCATCTTTTTAATTGGCTCCATGAAGGACATCCTAAACACTATACATGAAATACAACACAATGTTTTTTCTTCCAGTATTAAAAAAAATTGACATTCACAAACATTTTTAAGCTCTTCTATATAATCAAGGTGGTGATTTCAATGTAGAGTAAAAAAACACCTCTAAGTAATCAATATTATCTATGCATATTTCTTGAAGGTACATTCGGAAATTTCTAACCATGAAAAAGAAACATTGTGTACAAAACTTTTAAAATGTTCCTATAGATACTCAATAATTAAAAGGGGGAAAAATTGACCTGGCTGAAATTGTTTGCCAGAATAATCCTGAATGCCCAAACTAGAGAACTGGTCAAAGGAAAAGTACCCATACGACAAATGTCGCAGGATTTGTCTTTAAGTTTTAAAAACATATGGCGTTTATGAAAAGGTCTTTTAACAGGTTACCCTAGCAGCTTAATTCAAAAATAGAAGTTGATGTGCTAAAACAAAGATGTTTCAGTGCAGCTCCAAAAATCTTTAATAAATACAGTCGTCTGGAGGGATGATCCTGGTTCAGAAGAATTTTTATTCCTTGTGTATCTACATTATATGCATGCCTCATCTCAGTTGTCATAATTATCTCTATAATTTCCTCCAGAGTAGTGGTCATAACCACCCTGGCTTCTGCCACTGTAGTCTCTGGACCTTCTGCATCCATATCTGTATCCTCCAGGTCGACTATCCTACATGCTCCTCCCATAGCCCTGATCCCCACCACCTCTGGAGTAGCTGCGACCACGCCCATGAGCACCAAAGGCACTCCCTCAGGTCCCCTGGGCAGACTTGCCTGCATATTCCACATGAATCTGGTGACCATCCAGGGACTCTCCATTCATGGCTCGCATGGCATCTGAAGCATGTTCTGGATTGGTGAAGGTGATAAAACGAAATCCCCAGGATCGCTGAGTCTCCCGATCCTTGACGACCACCACCTCAGAGATAGGCCCAAAGCTGCTGAAGTGATATTCCGAACGCCTGCTCATCGGTGTTGAAGTTAAGACCTCCCATGGAGTCTCCCTTCTTCAGAAGACCTGGCAGGGAATTTGGGTCCTGGAACAGAACAGCAAGAGGAACAACAGCCAGAGCTGAAGACCAGTCAGAATGAATGAGCTTTTTGGTAGTTCTTAATAAAGGTTTTCAAGTAACTCTTGGATGCTCGTTGTATAAGCTTAGGAAGTAGTCAAAATTTAGATAGAAAAGAAATTATCAAAAGAAAACTTAAAAACCCACAGGAAACATGGCACTCAATGGTGAAAGGTGATTGTTTTTTCCTTAAGCTCAGAAACAAGACAAAGAGGCATGTTTTTACCATTGTTATTCATTGTACAGAAATTCAGAGAAATTAAGCAAGAGATACAAATAATAATTGTAAAAGAAGAGGGAAAATGATCTCTGTTCTCAGGTGGGTCTATGGACTAAAAATTCCAAAGAACTAATATAAATAGATTCAGCACAGTGGCAGGGCACAAGGTCACCAAACCAAAGTCAGTTGCGTTTCTATGTACCAGCAACGAATAATCTGAAAAGAAAATTAAGAAACAAGTACTGTGGACATTAGCATCTCAAATCAAATACCTAAGAATAAATTTAACCAGACAGATTGAAGACCTGTATACTAAAAACTGTAAAATTTAACTGAAATAAAGCAGATCTAAATAAGTTAGAAAGACATACCACATTCTGGCTTAGAAGACTTAAGTATTATTAAAATGTCGGTACTGTCCCACAATTCCTATCAAAATTCCAAGTCTTTTTTGCAGAAATGGAAATGCCAATCTTCACATTCATGTGGAATTTCAAGGGGCTCCAAATAGTCAAAGCAATTTGAAAATGTGCTGCAAAGTTAAAGTATCAGAACAATGTGGTATGAGCCCTGATTATGTTCTAACACCATTAACATTGATCGGTCTTCATGCAGAATCAACCCTTGAATCATAATACAGTAAATATCTCTGCTTACTCCTGTAAATACCTTTGTATTAAAGTCTTCTTTTTGATACTATTATAAAGAAACTTTCTTATTAATTCAAATAAAACATGGTATTAATGCAAGGATAGACATATTCATTAATGGAATATAATTGAGAATGAGAAATAAACCCATTTGTTTACAGTTAATTGATTTTCAACCAGGAAGCCAAGTCCATTCAACAAATGGTCATGCATAGGACCCTAGTCTTTTTAGAAATCCATCTATATTACACCCAATGATCAATAGCTAGCTACCCCAAGCAAAGACGAGAAGGTAAGAGGGTGAAGGCTGCTAGAGATGTTGAATTAAAGGAAACAGGACAATCGGAGGGAAATCATGAGAACATTGCCTCATTGTTCAAAAAGAACAAAATTTGTTATGTAAACTTTAATAAAAAAGGATTAAGCCTTTAACTAATCTAAAGGTTGGCAGTTCTAACTCACCAATGGCTCCATAGGAGAAAAGACCTGAAAGTGTGTTCCTGTAAAGATTCCAGCTTGGGGCCAGTTCTTTGTCTTGTAGGGCGCTCTGAATCAAGGTCAACTTGACATCACAAAGCAACAAAAATGTGGCTAACCAGAAAAGTGGAAAAATAACAAGTGTTGGTGAAGATGTGAAAATCGAAACCTTCATTCATTGCTGATGTGAATGTAAAATGGCACAACCTTTAGGGGAAACAGTCCAGATTCCTTAAAAGTTAAACATAAGAGTTGTCATATGACCTGCTTTTCCACTGCTAGGTACATACCCTCAAAGATTTAACAGCAAGGACGCAAACAGATCCTTGTACACCACTATTCATTGCTCCATGATTCACAAATGCCAAAAGGTGGAAACAACCCAAGTAGCCATCAGCAGATGTATGGATAAACATCTGTTTACATCTGTCTGTAATACATATATGCAATGGAATGTTGTTATTCAGCCCTAAAGAGAAATGAAGTTCTGATGTATACTCCGATGAGGATGAACCCTGACAACATAGTAAATGAAATAAGGCACAAAAGGAAAAAAATAATACACGATTCCACGTATATGAAAGACAGCTGAGGTAGTTAGTTTATTGTGCCAACCTGGCCGATAAACACATGTGGGGTTAATTGAAGGGCAGCGAGAGACATGGCTCGGTGAGCCTTGCATTTCTAGTTCTCTGGTCTCTTGCTTTCTGATGGTCGGATCAGAGTGCAGCTGCCTTAGCCAGTTCCCTGCTTTAGACAGCAATGCTCACTTCCTGCAAGACATCCCTGAGGAGAAGCCACATGGACCTACCCTGATGCAGCCTTGGGTGCTGGAGCAGCTGTGTGGAGACACCTGCCAGCGCTGAGATGCTTACACGCTCACTGACTTGACTTTCCTCCTGGAATGGGCATCATTGCGTCTGTTTTGTGAGATGGAGGAGGACTTTGTGGACTAGTGTTGAACATATGAGTTAATGTTGGACTTGTGGTCTTGGACAGCACTGGGTTGGGATGTTTTCTTGATGTGCACTTAACCTTTATATAAAACTCTCTCTTATACATGAATTGCTATGGGTTTGTTTCTCTAAAGTACCCAGACTAACCAAACAGCACAGGCAAAAATGCATGTAGGCCAAAGGCTAGGAGATGGGCTTATGGAGAGTATTTCTGTTTCAGGATCCCAAGTGGCCCTGTGGGTGATGTTAGGTGATGGGCTAATGTTACATGTTGGGCTGCTAACCACAAGGTCGGTAGTTTGACTCCACCAGCAGCTACAGAAGAGAAAGATAAGGCTGTCCCCATAAAGATTTATAGTTGCTGAAATTCTAAGGAACAGTTGTACTCTGTCTTCCAGGGTCACTATGACTCCATTTGGTTTGCGTTTGGAGTTAATAATTGAACTGATAAAAGATTTTGGAAATAGTGGTGATGGTTGTTCACATGGGGAATGTAAAGTTTGTTACATATATTTTCATCAACATAAAGTAACATACAAAGGAAGTAGCCAGGAGGTTAACTTGCTCTCTTTTCCCTACACACAGTTCACTGTCCTACATGGTTCTGTAGGAATCCACAGCACTGGATACCTCCCTATCAAGCAGGAAAAAGTCTTCACAAAATGGCTAATTTTGAAAAACCAAGGACATTTAAAAAAAGAGGAAATGGCCATTCCACTTTAGGGCAAGCATTTTTAGCCTAATGTGAGCTGCATTTTCAGAATGCAACAATCACTGGCTAAAGCAATGATTTGCGTTTCAGAGATGCCCAGTAAACTGCTGTGGATCTACGTCAGCACCATGCCATACCATTCATTATTCTCTTGCACCCATGTTACCAGCATGTTTGTATCTAGCATAACAATAAAGATGTCACAATTATAGCATCTTTTTTTTTTTTTGCCCCTAACTAGAATCATCAGCCCTTCCGATGTCTTGGGGAAAAGCCTTGACAATTTACAAAAACAATTCAGTAAAATACTTGCACGCTCCCAATGGGAAAGAGAGGAAGCTCAAGTGAGAGAGAGAAAACTCCAGAAAGAAATGACTCTGCATAAAGAGAAACTGGCCCATGGACAAGAAGAATTCAGGCAGGCCTATGAGAGAGCCCTTGAAGCACGAGTAAGACACGGGCAAGAGGCAGCTGGCGGGATATGTTTGGCAGATATTAATGTTTTCTCATCAAAATACAATGCTTCCTTTCTCATGCAAATACAATATAATTGTTGTTGTTTTCATTCATAACAAGTTAAACTGGGTGAAACTGAAATTGAGCCCTGAATATGATGTCAGAATCCAGTTTGTTTGTGACACTCTGTTTTGCTTGCTTTGGGAGCAATATGAGATGGTCGTTAGCATTTGGTAAATAATACCACATCGCTGGAGGGTGTAGCTAGAATCCTTTTTTTAAAAAATAATGAATGTAATGATCTGGCAAATATTAAATTGGATTCTAGAGAATGTTCAAAATAAAGCCATCCCCAACAATTAATCTAAAAGTTTGTCAGACTCTTTAGTAACATAGTATCACTCTTCCCCCTAAAGTTTGAGAAACATTTTGCTTAAAAACTCATCTTTGGAATTTAATAACCTAATCTCCCCACAGATTAATTTTAACAAGAGGCAACATGAAGCAAGGATCCAGAAATTGGAGGATGAAATTCACTATCTGCAAGAAAATCTTAAAAGTATGGAGGAAATCCAAGGCCTTACAGATCTCCAACTTCAGGAAGCTGATGATGAGAAGGAGAAAATTCTGGTCCAACTCCAAGAATTAGAGAAGAAGGTAGGGAAGATCAGGAAGTGAGACAAGACATACTGGTGTCAACAAGTTCATGGAAAAGTGAAACAAAAGTAGTAGAATTTTCCCATGGACTTTCTAAGGCCGCTGATATGGGCTGCTCTGGTAACCAGTTTGGTGTCAGCTTGGAGGGGTGTGGTCCCTGGTGCCTCCGACCACATTGTGGGCACCGAGGTGGTGGAAGAGAATTGGGAGGGCAGAGGTGGCCGTAGAATCAGGTGGTCTTTAACATATGCTCCTAACTAACGTCTATCTCCTTAGAACCCCTGACACTTCCATGGAACATCCGTTTTCATTTCTTACACCCTGACTTGCTTGTGGCCTTTTCCGGTGTCCCACCTCAACCATCTGTTCATTCCTATTGTCAAACGCCAGGCCTTGTCAAATTCAGAACTCACACCCACCACCTGGGAGATCTTAACCCCATGCGCCCCACTCTGATCGCAACCTCTTAGCCTGCCAGTGCTCCACTCTCAACCGTACAGAGACTCCCATATATTCGCTGCCCCTCTTCTTTTTAAATCTGTTTTATGTATTTTAGTCTTCTGTACTTCCCCTAGTCTCCTGCCTTTTTCTTACGTAGTACCACCTCTGTCCATGTATAGCACTAGTCACACGATCGCATCTTACATTTATCTGATGACTTGCTTATTGACTGTCCCATAAGCTGTAAGAGCAGCAACGACGCTGTGTTGTTTATCACCTGGTGCCCAGTGACTGACTTGGTGACTGCAAGTTTTTGACCCGTCTGCGATGAATGAATGACGCTCGCTGAGATTCTTGACAGGAAAGTCTGACCTGATTTCTTGACAGGAAAGTCTGACCTGATTCCAAGCTTATTGTGCAATTTTGAGATACTCTTTTAATTGTTCACCCAACATTTATGAGGCACCTACTGTGCCAGGGGCATGCAACAATGAGCAAGTCTCTCCCCTCATGGAACGTACGTACATCCAGCAGAGGTCTCACTGAGGGGAAGCACGGACCGCGGGCTCCTCTTTGTCAGTTTTGCCCTTTTGAATTCATTTGTGCCTAAAGACTCATCTGTTCAATTAATATTTCTTTTAGAAGAAATTCGAAGATGCCAGATCCCAGGAGCAGTATCTTAGTTTAGATAAAGAATTGAAGAACCTGAAGAAAGCCGTGACTGCCTCTGATAAGCAAGCCACAGCTGAGCTCACCCTGGCTAAAGAGCAGCTGAAGTCCCTTCATGGAACTGTTCTGAAAATTAACCAGGAGCGAGCAGAGGTGAGTCCACCACACTGGAGAACAAGTTTCCACCAGTTATTCTGCTGTCAGAAATAGAGCAGCGTCATTCTTCATCTCTGTGTATACACTTTGGTTGTTTTATGAACCACCGTAAAGTTGTTGGCTTCTCTGTAAGACCAGTATTTCCCTCATCATAACCCAAACAAGACACTTCGTGCCACCATGGGCCCTGCACCCTGTTGAGCCTTGAAAGGAATCATCAGTTGAAACAGCATCTCTACCTGAAGGGATTGTGATCTGCTTAGAGATGCAACACTGTCAATACATACCCAGATGAGGGTTTTGAAAGCTTTCCATGTAATCCCTCTGCATTTCACGTTTTCCATCCTGTGTTGTCTGGTAATAGTATGTTACTTTATGGAGTGTTATGACTCCCGACGGTAAAAAACGGTCTGTCTCTGTGCTCTATTTGAGAGGAGAGTGGCACCCTTCACTCCAGAGAAGATAATAGAACCATGAGAGTAAAACGAGGCCTTAGGCCTGGTTTTTCTGATGCAGCAACCCTTCCACTAGGCTCCCATGGTGGGTGCAGAGTGGGCTTCCACGATAGGGGAACGAACAATACATGAACGGGTGTGTTGTCTGGGTAGACTAGAGAAACAAATTCACAGACACTCATGTGTATAAGAAAGAGCGTTATATCCCAGAGCAATTGTACATTAAGAAAGCATCCAAGCCCAGTCCAAATCAAGTTCATAAGTCCAATATGAGCCCACATGTCCAATACTAGCCCATAAATTCCTCTTCAGACTGGCAGTCATTCAATAATACCGAATACAGGAAGATCACAGGCCAGTGGGTGGAAAGTCTTGTGGATCCAGTGGCGGCAAAAGCATCTCAGCACTGGCAGGGTTCTCCATGTGGCTCCTCCAGCTCTGAGGTCTCTGGCTGCATCAGAGTAGCTCCATCAGGCCCCTTGTCAGTAATGTCTCGCTGGGAGTGTGTGTCCTGCCTCCAGTAAGCTATCTCCTTAGTAGCGCCTCCAAATAGGCCATCAGGCTGCGACCTGATTGGCAGACTAAACTCCATCCCTTCACTCTCAGTCTCAAATTGACAACAGATTATGTAACTATCACGGCGGGTCAGTCTTGACACTGAATGATGGAACCACCAGACGGGTGACCTGATTAGATTAGAAGAATTGATCAGATAAAGAGATCAGTACTGCAGCTTATGATGGTAGTCATGCCTTTCCCCCCCCGCAGGAGAAGCAGGAGGCTGAGAGGTTCAGTAGAAAGGCAACACGTGCGGCCAGGGATCTGACCCGAGCAGAAGCAGAGATTGAACTCCTGCAGAATCTGCTCAGGGACAAAGAGGACCAGGTCAGTATTGGGAGTCCTAAGATCTTTGCTTTATTGAGCCCCTTTCAGTTCCTGAAGGAAACATGCTGCACATGTGAGACCTTAGAGACTTATAAAGTGCTGTGTTTGATGCTGCACACCAAGTACAGTACCGTGACAGTATAAGGAGTAATTCTGTGCTGTCCTTGCAGAAGTGTACATAAAACTTAGACTTGTCATCAAGTTGCAAGGATACGTGTGTCTTGGAAATAACTTATTGGCAATTTTCTCTGATTCTCCAATAGTTTGTAATGGAGAAAGCAGAAGCAGGCACCTTAGTAGCAAGCTCACAGGTGCTAGAAATGGATAAACTCAACGAGACAATGGAACGACAAAGGACAGAGATTGTAAGGCTGCGGAATTTGCTAGACATCACAGAAGCTGGTAAGGTTTTGTGGCTTTGATTTCGGTAGTGATTTGGCAGTTATTGTTTTCACTGTAGACATTACTATTTATTTTTTTATAAATTTATTAGGGGCACTTACAGCTCTTATAATAATCCATACATCAGTTGTATCAAGCACATTTGTACATATGTTGCCATCATCATTTTCACAACATTTTCTTATTACTTGAGCCCTTGGTATTAGCTCCTCTTATTTTCCTCCCTCCCCATGCTCTCACCCTCCTTACCCCTTGATAAATTATAGATCATTATTTTCATATCTTACACCATCCACTGTCTTCTTTCACCCATGTTTCTGTTGTTTGTCATTACTGTTTTAAAAATGAAATCTTTTTGTTTATTTTCATGGTTGCAAGTAAACTCAGTACTTGATTAATGAAGCCGTGTAATTAGCTTAATAATTATAAAGTACAATATTGAGAGACTTGGTTACAAAGAAACTGAAGAGAGACCGGTATTTTCAAAAGAAGTGATGTTTACAGTCTGTGCGTTTGCCTTTTCTGCCGCTGTACAGACGAAGGACAGAAGGCTGTGTCTGTCTGTTTTAAGTGTTAGTTAAAACTCATTAAGATGGGTAGGCAGAAAGCCAGCTTTGAGGCACTGATAAAATTCCACAGCAGTCATGGAATCAATTTTGGCTTTGAGAGAGAAAGCAAGTGGGTGATTGCAGCCCAGTTTCATAGAGTGACTTTCTTTTACAGATAACAAAGGAGGCTTTGAAAATGTTTTGGAAGAAATCGCTGAACTCCGACGTGAGGTTTCTCATCAGAATGATTACATCAGCAGCATAGCAGACCCTTTCAAAAGACGGGGTTATTGGTACTTCATGCCACCACCACCACCGTCCTCAAAAGTAGGAACTCTATGGTGCTGGGAGTGTAAACTGGCTGCTCGTGAAGAAAGCACGGCAGTGTCTCTGTCTCAGATTTGTGAACAAGAGCCATACAGAAAGAAATATTTGTCTGCCAAGCCATACATTTATATGCTAAACTACACATTAAGGTGCTACAAAGTTGAAGTTCTTAGTTGAATTTCTTACATGCCTTTAATTTGGAGATGGAGCCCAGGACTTTCTCGGGAAGGTGGTAACTGCTTGCATGCTGAGGTGATGTTCTCTGGGTCCTACAATAAAGATGCTGTAAAGCAATGAAAGAACTCAAGCCCAGAGAGAGCCTGTCATTAAAAATGGGTATAGGATGATGCAAAGGCACAGACAGAAAAATAGATATGTGGATTGCATTACTCTTTCACAAACGTTCATACCAGTTACATAGTAGATCAGGTGGTTCATGGTGGTGGGGTACCAAGAGAATGATCTCTTTGGGCAGTTCGTAAGCAGAGAGGGAGAGGCTTCTAGGATGGAAGCAATCACTGGTTTGTGGAAGGATCGGTGGTTCAGGCATGGCTGGTCACCTTTTGGGGTGAGAAACAATGAACGCTGAATAGAAAAGTAGTTTGGGGGTTATTTTTAAAAGGGGGCCTTGAAATCCCGTGTACCTACATAATTATGTAGGCTGTGGGAAGCTGGGGGTGGGTGGCATATGTAACATGATCAGAACTATATTAGCTATAATCTGGCAGAGTGTGGGGTCTAGAGCAGTGGTTTTCAACCCTCCTAATGCCACGACCCTTTAATACAGTTCCACATGTTGTGGTGACCCCCAAGCATAAAATTATTTTCGTTGCTGCTTCATAAGTGTAATTTTGCTACTATTAAATTGAACATAATGAAAGCATAGTGATGAATCACAAAAACAATATGTAATTATATATTGTGAAATATTTATTTCTAATGACACATAAATGAAATTTTGTCTTGAAGCATGGTGTAGCATGGGGAACAGTCTTCAGTCCGGGTACTTGTATGTGGGCGTGTCTGCATGTGGGTAGACCCTCCTGGAGATGGATAGAGGAGCAGTGTCTTGGTTCCTAAGACCATTGGAAATATGTGTTTTCCAATGGTTTTAGGCAACCCCTGTGAAAGGGTCGTTCAACCCCCAAAGGGGTCGCATCCCACAGATTGAGAACCGCTGGTCTTGACAGTGACAGAGTGAATTTGATGTGGAACTATTTGAAATCATTCAAGTGAGGAATGGCAGAGACCAGCGCTAGAGCACTGGAGTTGGAGAAGTTAGGGATTTGAGAGACAAAATGGTCAAGCGTTGTGCCACTGAAAGCTGCACCCAGTCAAGCCGAGGTGCTGGGTGACATTCTAAAGTGCAAGGCTTAGGGAGAAGTGACTTAGATGCAGTATGATCCCGTGAGTGTGGAGGCTTACCCAGAGCCAAAATAGCAGAATCTAGACCATTTCTCCCAGAATGCTAAAGGAAGCCAAATCCTTAGCACAGACAGAGCTGGAGGTGGAAGCAGGATAAACCCAATCAAACTCACTGCCATCAAGTGCACTCCAATTCATAGTGATCCTATAAGACAGCGTAGAACTGCCCTTGAGGGTTTCTCAGACTATAATTTTTTTTAGGCTCAGAAAGCCTCATCTTTTTATCATGGCTGGTAAGTTTGAACCACCAAGTTAATGTGTAACCCACTACCCCACCAGAGATCCTTGGAAGCAGGATAAATTAGAGCTGAATGAAGGTTTGGAGGAAGGAAATCGAGAGTAACCAATAAAGCTTTAAATTCCTGCCAAGGTCTCCGGACAGGAGATTCCTACCCCCACATTCAATCGAGAGTTCGCCTGTTCCCTCTGTCTTGGTTGCTGAGCCCATATGGACAAAGCCGTGGAGAGACCCCAGGAAAGATGAGCGCAGCCTAGGGGGTCTGCTCCCTTTAGTTGCTGCCTGAAATGAACCCAACCAAGTAGTCAGATAATGGGCTTTCCTCATTTCCATATGATCAAAGACTTGTTTTCCTTAGAAAATTGTAGTGAAAGATAGGACAGGAAATGGGTGTTAGCAAATACTGACTCCCAAGGTGATAAGTGGACATTGGTTAGAGTCCGTTGCTTTGACCAAGCGTGGAACGCTTCATGTTCACCAGCCAGTGTGATGTGAGCCCAGCCATGGTGCACACAGTGCAGTGCTTGTACCGCCTCCCTCATGCTGCCATGCTGCTGGAGTCCCGAAGGACAGCAGTAAACTGATGGGTGACCTTTGTACAAGGCTGCAGTTTGTAGGACCATGCCGTCACTTCTCCCTTCTGTCTGAAAAGTGAGAATTATGGTATATGCAAAGATGCCAAGTTCTTTCTCAGAATGGCCACATCAAGTGGAGGGAACCTTGGCTTTTAACATTTCTCAGAATTTGCCTTTCCATTGATAGTGGATACACTGTTCTTTGTTGTCATTTGGTTTAGGTTTCTAGCCATAGTTCCCAGGCTACCAAGGACTCTGGTGTTGGCCTAAAGTGCACAGCCTCAACACCCATTAGAAAACCACATCCTGCACAGCAAGATGGGAAAGAAGGTAGTGGACCACCTCCTGCCGCAGGATACTGGGTGTATTCGCCCATCAGAAGTGGGTTGTATAAATCTTTTTCAAATAGAGGTAGGTTGAGTAAGTAAGGGAGGTTGCGTTTCTTTTGTGTGTTTAATAACTGAATTGCCTCCCTGAAGTTCGTAGGAGAGGACTTAGCTTGCTCTGCAAGGCCCTTTGTGTTCCAGCCCTGACCCACAGCCCAGTCTGAAGTCTCAGCTCCCATCACTCCCACACGTCAGCTCTACCTGAATGAATGCCATGTTCCTCAAGTTGCCATCTTTCAAACCATGTCTGAAAGGTCCTTTCTCCTTCCTTTCCCCAACCTGCTCCAACTTGTCCTTTAAGGAGACCCAAGTCTTCAAACATCACTCCTTTTGTGGCCCCTCCCTCCACCTTTCTTGCTCAGCAAACTCCTTCCTTTGTAGTCCCAGACCTTGGGGCATGCGTCCTTGTAGCATGACATTCTCTTGCTCTCCTGTATTGATATGATTACAGATATGTCTTCCAAAGTACCAAGAGTGCAGACAGTCAGACTTGGGGGGAATCCAGGCCTTTATTTAATGGAAATTGAGATCTTAAGCACATGATTTAGTTAACCCTGAGACAGTACATCCATAAAATGAGAATACTATCTTCAGAGAATTTATTCATTCAGAAATTACTTAATTGAATGCCTGCTGTATGCTAGGTTCTCTGTCTTCGGTGATAAACAAGACAAAGCACTTGCTTCTAGGGGAATGAGTAAATCAGACTCCTCCTTTGAGAACACTGGCAGATGTTGGGTAGGGGGTTCGCTCAGCACATCTCTGTTGGTCTTCGATGTGGTGTGCTGAATGAAGGAATGAACAGATGGGACAGACCAAAATACTCTGTCTCAGCCACTGAAAATAATTTGCACCCTTGTTTTGGATCTGCTTTTGAAAATGAGTTTTAACCTACTTTTCAGAGTTTTAGTCTTAAATCTCTGTTACCTTGGCTTAAATGCTGCTGTACTCTAGTCAACCTGTTTACCAGGAGCATAAAACACTCTTTGTTCATTTCTTTGAAGATGAAGACAGTGGAGGAGATAGCGAGGAAGACAGTGACCCGGATGACCGAGAGGAACCCCCCTTTGTGCCTCCGTCTGGATACATGATGTACACGGTCTTTCCCGATGGGTCTCCAGTTCCTCAGGGCACGGCCCTGTATGCACCACCCCCGCCCCTGCCCAACAACAGCCGACCTCTCACCCCTGGAACTGTTGTCTACGGACCTCCTCCTGCTGGAGCCCCCTTTGTGTATGGGCCTCCACCCCCCAACTTCTCTGTCCCCCTCATCCCCATGGGCGTGCTGCACTGCAACGTCCCGGAGCACCATAACTTAGTAAGTGAAAAGCCTAGTGACCCCATCCCGCTTCTTCCAGAGGTGCCTGAATCAAGCTGTCCACGTAACACCTGATCTCGTTGTGAATGAATTATATTCCCAGGTCCTTCTGCAGAAACCAGTTTTTAGAGCAGAAATGCTTTCAATCTAGAAATTAGCCATTTTATTAAACTTCTAAATATTTTTCTATTACAATTTTTAGAGTGTATGTGGAAGTCTATTCATATATTAACATGTGTAAATATTATGCACCAAGGTTTTGATGACAATCATCTCAGGATTGTGGGGGCTTATGATTATTTATTATTCTTTTTCAAGTTCTTTTTGTATATGCAATTTTTAAAAATTTATTTTTTAAATCATTTTATTGGGGGCTCATACAACTCTTATCACAATCCATCCTTCCTTCCATTGTGTCAAGCACATTTGTACATTTGTTGCCATCATCATTCTCAAAACATTTGCTTTCTACTTGAGCCCTTGGTATCAGCTCCTCATTTTTTCCCCTCCCTCCTTGCTCTCCCCTCCCCCATGAACCCTTGATAGTTTATAAATTATTGTTATTTGTCATATCTTACACTGTCCGATGTCTCCCTTCACCCACTTCTCAGCTGTCCATCCCCCAGGGAGGAGGTTATATGTAGATCCTTGTAATCTGAACCCCCTTTAACTTGCCCATGGCTTTCAAAATTTTTCGAACTGTATTTTTAATAGCTGTACTATGTGTTATTTGTAATACTAGTTAATTGTTTATAAATTTTCACTGTATTTTCTTGGACCCAATTCCAATAAGTGATGACTTTCTAATCACTAGGTTTCTAGCTTTTCCGTTTTGAAAAAAAATAATGCATTCCAATTTCCAATACCCTAGTGAAAAAGTTAAAAGCTCAATGATTCCATTAATTTTATCTGTGATGTGTGGGAAATAATTGACTTGGCTTAATTTTTCTCTTCACACTAAAGTCTTAGAATCTACCTTAATTTTCAGGTTACAGATTCTGCTTTCAGGTTTTGGTAGAAAAAGAAGGGCAACATTCTGAGATGTTTCAATATTGCATGCTTCCCCTGTGTTTAGGAGAATGAAGTGTCTAGATTAGAAGAAATAATGGAGCATTTGAAATCGAAGAGACGGGAAGATCGGTTGGTGAAAGATTTTCAGCGACAGTCGGAAAAGGAAATAGAAGAATTACATCATAATATTGATGTTCTTTTGCAAGAGAAGAAAGACTTAGAGCAAGAAGTAGAAGAATTACATAGCACCATCCAGAAACATCAACAGCGAAAGTAAGATTATTAGCCATTTTGTTGTTCTCATTCAGATGAATGTGTTAATACATCTAAAGCATTGGATTTTTAACTTAATTTTAAATACATTAGTAGTCACGTAGTGACTGCCTTATGGGACAGCGCAGGTCTAAATCTTTTTGGCCCAAAATCCCATTCAGCTCTTCTAATCCTTCTTGGCTAGGGCCGTAACTATCTCTCCTTCCCAGCGACCCTTCCTAAACACATGGAAGGTGTCTGCAACCCCCTCTCTCCTTTACTCCCCCAGGCATCCAGTTGTTCACCAAGTCCTCACTCAAACAGCTCTCAGGTAGACTCCATTGTTCGTCTCCACTGCACTAGCCTTTGGTCGTCTCTTCCTGGGCCATTGTGCCAGCTTCCTCGTTGACCGTGCGTGGTTAGTTTTATTCTCTCCACTCTACTTTCAACTTGAAGGCAGATCTGGCCATGCTCCCCTCCCCTTTGCTCTCCATCCCATTAAGATAAACATCACCCTCCATCATCTCAGCTCTGCCCAGTTGTTGATTTTTTTCCTGGCGTGTGTATTTTTAATCCTTTTCTTTCATACCCAGTGTTTGGTCCAATCCTACTTATCTTCTGGAAATGTCCTCAAGGATCCTGTTTTTCTCTACCTTCACACTTTTGTATTGCTATTTCTTTTGAGTTAAATGTCTTTTCTCTTCCCTCCCCATTTACCTAACTCCTCCTGACTGTCTTTTGAAGTGAGGTCAGAGATTTTCTCTTTCAAATAAATCTTTCATTCCTCAGGCACCAGTGATCAGGGTCAGCCATGGGCCTAGCACTGTTGGCACAATTATTAGAGCCCAGGGGCTTGTTGAGGGCAGTGGCAAGGCTATGACGAGGCCACCTCTGTCCCAGCTTGTGGCATAGGACTCAGCACAGCACAGGCTGTGCTCATGAATACTCGGTTTGCCGATTGGAGAAGCTCACTCTGTCCAGTGCTCGATGAATTACAACAGTGTTTCCCCTGTTGTTTTCATTTAAGCCAGACTAGGCCAACCTACAAGAGCCCCAGTGGTCCTGTTAGGTACGTGTTGGACTGCTGCACAAGATCAGCCGATCACCGAGGCTGTCCTGCAAAGATTTACAGCCTTTTAAGCCCTCGACAGGGGTTCTGAGTCAGAATCAACTAGATAGAAATGGGGTTGGGTTGGGCCGAGCTCCGTGATGAGGGCAGCGTTGCCGAGGACAAAGGTAAGTGCAGTATGGTCACTGTCTGTGGCTTTGGTAGGCCCATACTCAGGAGCGTGGACGAGAACTTTTAAGGGCCCAGAGAATTGCTGTTTCTTTTATTTTTTGTGGGTATAAATGGGAAGGGGTGCTTGTTTTGTTTTTATTTTGAGGTTTGCTTTTGCAAGGTTAAAAAGAATAACCATTTCATTTCTTGGTTATAAAATCATAATAAATGATTATTCTGAGGAACTTGGATAAGATAAAAATAATCAAAATGATTGGTATGTTCATCATTTAAAGAGAAAACCTGTTCCATGTTGATGAGCCTGCCTGTATATGTAATGTGCAGTCATGGGTAGTCCTAGCTTCAGATATTTGTGGGCTGTCCACATTGGCTTGACCAAGTGTTGAAATGACAATGGTCTTTGTTGTTTATATACATAAAAGCAACAAAGATTGATTATGTATATACATAGAATATGCATATGTCCATTATATATGTACACATATAATCAATCTTTGTTGACATATATCTAAAGTTACTGCATTGTAAATACTTGGCCATATATATGAGGGGATAGCAAAAAATTGGATCCCCCCCCCAAAGCTATGTATTAAAAATTTTTTTTATAAAACAACCTTATCACCTTCAAAGTACTCTCCATTATACTTAATACATTTGTCAAATCTGTGATCCCATTCTTGGAAACATTTTTCAAACTCATCTGTTTGGATGGCTGACAGCATCTCCCTCGTTTTTTCTTCACCTCTTCTACATCATCAAATCACTGTCCTTTCATATCCCCCTTCATCCGGGGAAACAAAAAGAAGTCATGGAGCGAGGTCAGGTGAGAAAGGTGTGTGGAGCAAGAGAGGCATGCTGTTTTTTGCCAAAAACTGGCGCACTGAGATGCTGTATGAGCTGTAGTGGCAAAACCAGTCCCCTGTCTGCCACAAACCAGGCCTTTTTGGTCACACACTGTTATACAATCTTTTCAGAACCTCTAAATAAAAGCTTGATTAACAGTCTGACCTGGTGGAACGAGCTCCAGATGCACGCTCCCCCTCACACCAAAACAGCACAGGAGCACCAGGTATTATGGGTACTCGCTTGTTTGACAAGTCCATTCTATATTATGTATATTACTCATCTATTGTTCACGGTATATCCTCTTGAACTAAAAGTAAACAGGCTTTGAAAGTGGCTGCTTTTCTTGCCCTGTAAATAAAGTAGAAAATAAAAATGAAACAATTTACTAGTGTACTTTATCTACATTTAAAATCTATGGATGTATGTCTCTCTTTTTAAAGGGACTTTATTGATGGAAATGTTGAGAGTCTTATTACTGAACTAGAAATAGAGAAATCTCTCAAGCACCATGACGATATTGTAGATGAAATTGAGTGCATTGAAAAGACCCTTCTGAAACGTCGTGCAGAGCTCAGGGAAGCTGACCGACTCCTGGCAGAGGCTGAGAGTGAACTTTCGTGCACAAAGGAAAAAGTATGTCCTGTTTTGGCCCTCAGTGTGAATTCAGTGGGTGAGACCGCTTACCCTCCTCACAGGAAGGACTAGACAGAGAAAGTGTGGTAAGAGCACAGTTGTCCGTCATCCAAGTCAGACAACGGGGATTCTGGGCCGGACTCTGCTGTTTGAAGAGCTTTGGAAATGTGGGAAATCATTTCAGTCCCCCGAACTTTGCTTTCCTAGCTATAAATGTAAATTAAGAATACCTACTTCATAAGACTGGTCAGCATGAATTACATGACACACATATTTAAAGCACCTGAAGTGATTTTGTTCCCATCATGCCCCACTTCACCTTGTGGGTGTCTCTTTTTTATTATTCAAGTTCTGATAACCTTTGCATTTTTTATCTTTGTATTTTTACTAGGTCATTTTTTGGGGGAAGATGACTCATGCTCTTATTTTTTTCCAAATTAGTAATGATATAAAATCAAATTGTTTTTGGTCTGAGACAGAGGAAGAAAAGGAGCTTTTCTTGAGCGCCTTATAAGGCCACACAGTATTGGCTGGGCCATTTTACAAATTTAACCCTTTGACAACCCTGCAAGATGGTGTTAGCCCTCTGGACAGATGGGGCTCATAGAGACTGATAAAGGACACACGATCACATGGCTGAAATTCTGCCTTAAGAGAACTTTAAAAATTCCAAGATGAACAAAAATTCCCTTTCATGGAATACTTCAGCAGCTCTACTTCTATGTTGTTTTAACATTGAGATATTTCTGTTAACAAACATCTATCATCCAGGAGCTGAAATGAATGACTTAAGTTTTTTTAAAGACGTGTAGCTTTCTTTAATAATGGAAAAACATCCACATCTTTTTAAGATGATCAATTCCTTTTGCTGTTACATGTTAGATTACTGTGAGAAAAAACACCTGTGAGAAGGTGGGAAAAATTCTTTTTCTAAACCAAAGTGATTCAGGGAAGCAGCTTGACAGGGAGGAGAAGGGAGGAAGTAGCCCCTTTGTATAAAAAATGTGTGAGACATATTAAAACCTGAGAGAAGAGACCGTAAAAAAACCCATCAAAAAGTGGCCTTCTGGAGTGTTTATTGCTTTGCTAATGAAACCGATGAACCGCCTGTCTGAAACGGAAGGGAATATGGCGAACCGGTTAGTTCTTTCCGAGCTTGCCAGCTCTCTGTCCACCCAAGTATCTAATAGAATAGACACGCCTAACAGACAGACAGGCACCTGATGTTAGTGCAGCTGCAGAGCATGACCTTACTGGCCAACATGTCACTGCTCAGCCAAGAACAAGCCACACTCTATTGTTGAACTTTTAAAAAATGGCATTGTTGTAAGCCTCTTATTTTATTTATTCCCAGTTTTATTGGCATATAATTTACATATCATACACTTCAGTAGTTCAGTCACATCAAGAAGAGTTGTGTGTACAGTCATCATTGCAATCAATTTTAGAACATTGTCTTCATTCTTGATAAGCCTCTGATTTTAGGCAGAAAAAGAAACAATTATGCATATATTCTTAAGTTGATACTAATATGAGGGGCTTCAAAAAGTGTAAAATGAAATGAAAAGATAATGGAATTTTTCCATGAGATTTTCGAAGTCCTCTCAAATATTTTTTCAGCCCACATAATATCATTGGCAGTCTTCCATGTTGCTATATTGCCATCCTAACCATTTTAAAAGCACACGATAACCAACTGTGTTTTTATGCATTATGACTGACTGAATATTACTTATCAAGTTATACTTTATTTCTTAAAATGATCTTTTCATGCAGTAGATCTTTGCTTCCAAAACATTTGCAAAGAATCAGGAGTTGGAACATATGGACATTTTTATAAGTACTTCTGTGTTGGCTTTTTGTTTTCTAAGAGCTCACCACGCGATAGATAGCTGTGAGGATTGCTTTTCATTGAATTGCTTTTTATGACAGCCACTCTTTGCAGACAAAAGATGCTGTTGAGAAGTTCACTGATGCCAAGAGAAATTTACTGCAAGCGGAGTGTGATGCAGAAGAACTAGAAAGGAGAGCGCAGGAAACAGCCATTCACCTCGTCAAAGCTGATCAGCAGCTGAGGTATGGGGGACCCTTAGCCATGCGGGTATGTTGGGAGGTGAATGAGAAGCTGAATGCTCAGAGGATAAACAGGACCATGTTAAGCCTAGGGCCTGGGAGGGAAATAACGTGATGTGTTCTAGATTGCTCCAGGCCGACGCAAAGAACTTGGAGCAGCACAAAATCGAGCAAGAAGAAATTTTGAAAGAAATAAACAAAGTTGTAGCAGCAAAAGACTCAGACTTCCAGTGTTTGAGCCAGAAGAAGGAAAAACTGACAGAAGAGTAAGTAAGGCCTCTCAGCCCTCCTGGGCGGGCGGCGGGCAGGAGGAGCACTCGGGGTGCAGGCTTAGGACTGCTGCTGCTTTGCAGGCTGCAGAGGTTACAGAAGGACATCGAGACTGCAGAGCACAGTGAGGACCATCACCTACAGGTCCTTCAGGAATCCGAGACCCTCCTTCAGGCCAAGAGAGCAGAGGTGGAAAACCTGACGGCCCAGGTATGGTGACAATCACCTAGAAATAATAGCTCTGTTTTGAAACCTGCAAGAGGCCTCCAGAAAGTTATTGGAAAATTGAATGAACCAATCATGGAATTTTTCCATGGACTTTTAAGTTACGTTCCCATGTACTTATAGGAAAAGATGGGGAAAAAGCAAAACATGAAGAATAAGATGTATAACATAGTGTTAAGAGTCTTAGAGTCCACTGTCAACCTGAACCCCAATTTTATGCAATGTACTAGTGAAAGAAGTGAGTCTCTGAGCGTGGTTTATACTCTGTGGGATTCTTTACGTTACATGTGTTTATGAACAGTGTTTTTAGTTATAGCCTCTACCTACACAAAAGTGGTCATTGCAGAGAGGGCATTATGAGCATTTTGTATTTTCTTCATTTCTTCAAAGTCAGTGTTCTCTGACTTTGCTGTAAATGAATATGCATAACTTTAATATGCTAAGTAATTTAAAAATATACAAAATTAATAAAACTCCCTGCTGATATTATGATCAAATCAAATGCAGATATGAAAGTGCTTTAGAAACCACAACCTGAAGGCTAATCTTTGTTGTGTTGTGTTGTATTGCTGCACATGGAGTGGTTTTAAGTATATACGCACCGAGTCATTACAAGGCATTTCACAGCTCACCCAGTGTAGCCTTCCTGACTCTTGGGTTTAGAGCATTAGGTCCTAATTTCTCCCCACCACCTCATGGCCAAGAGCTTTAGCTGGATGGGCTATTTTCCACCTTAGCACTGAAAACAGCATGACTTTTGTCAAGCCCTGCCTTCGTCCCCTTTCATGAATGCAGGTGACGAGCCAGCAGCAGGAGATGGCCGTCTTGGACAGGCAGTTGAGGCACAAACGGGAAGAGCTGCATCTCCTCCAAGGGAGCATGGTCCAGGCGAAGGCGGACCTCCAGGAAGCCCTGAGCCTGGGCGAGACTGAAGTCACTGAGAAGTGCAGTCACATTAGGGTTTGTTTTTCAATATATCTTCTTAGAGCTCCAGGACAAGGCTGTGCATTCATTTTAAGATTCTTTCATTTGGGTCCCCCTAAGTGCAAATATAAATTGATTTGGTTTTGTTTTCTGTCGCTAATCTGTGGCTTCACCTCTTGCTCCCCCCAGATCGTTTTCTGTCCATACCCAAGAGTTTCCTGCCTCTGTGTTCTTTCTCATCCATTTTATCTCCAGGAATGCTCTTTTATCCCTCAGCCCTTGCCAGAGCCTCTCCATTTTGCACGACCTAGATTCCTACCACCTCCTCAATGAAAATTTCCTTGATTTTCCCCATATCTGAGTTCTAATTCATTCTTCTGCATGTTTCCTAGGGCACTTACCTCCCTTAGATTTGTGTGATCTCGCATATTGCCCCTTCCCCTGTAGGCAGGTGAGGTGCTGAGCCCCTCTAGGGTTTGATCTGCCTTGTTTCCCACCAGCACCATGCCTGCTGTTCTCGACATAAAAGATAAAAAGGAGATTGTTTCCAAATTAGTTTCTATGAAATGAGACTGAGAGCTGATGTTTAAGTAAATTCCATCACAATTTTGCAGAGCTGCATGATTTTTACCTCTCCCACAGGAAGTAAAATCTCTTCTGGAAGAACTGAGTTTTCAGAAAGGAGAACTGAATGTCCAGATCAGTGAAAAAAAAACTCAACTTGCACTTATAAAGCAGGAGATTGGAAAAGAGGAAGAAAATCTTCAGGTAGTTTTAGGGCAAATGTTTAAACATAAAACCGGTAAGTTTAAAAGAAACTAATCGTGTAAAATTTGAGGTTAGAAAATGTTTATATTCTAGGTCATAGAAAAACCCAACTGGTCAAAAATGTAAAAGCACAGTTTAAAAGGAGAATATTCTCTGCCGTTCAAATTAGTAAGATTGACTCAAAAGTTAAATAACTAGAGTTTTCACTGGTTGGGGGTGGTGAAAGTGGAGCACTTCCAGGCTGGTGATTGAACTAAGTTGGAACAATGTCCCTGTGATTCAAGATTGTTATGTTTCACAGCTGGTGAAACACAGAGCATATTCCTAGTAATCTAGGGAGCTCACATTTTTATTTATGATGACAAAATTTGGAAATAAGTTAAATGACCAATTTAAAAATAACAGTATTGAATGACATTCAAAAATGCTCACTGAAGAATAAAAAAGATGTAAAATATTGAACATGTAATATAATCCCATTTTATTTTAAAATCTCTATGTATATGTGTGTGTACTCATGGAAGAAATGCTACCCAAATGCTCCTGTAACAGGAATTATCTTTGGGTGGTGGGATAATGTTTATCATTTTCTTCTCTTGTTTCTTCCCCCTGAATTGTATATAGTGATAGGATAGTTTTATAGCCAGAAAACACAGTGTCACATATCTGTATTTCAAAAGAGCCCCAAGTTGTTTTATATATTCAAGGTTTTCCACATTTGTTTTTATTTACCAGTAAAAAAGTATGGGTAGTTTATTCTTTTATGTGGGGGAAAATTCTTTTAGAAGTAAAGCTTTGTTAAGTGCTTTTGTTGAAATATATTTAGCAGATTAGTATTCAGTGATACATTTAAAGGACTCCCCCCCTCCTATCCCACTCACCCCTTTTCATTAAAATACAATTCAGGAACTCCTTTAGTTGAGTCCAGAAATATTTTTTAATTAAAAAGTATTCATAGTCTCTTGACTCAGTCAGTAGCATTATTTTCTATTTCAATTTGTAATGTTTCCAAGTTCATTTAATAGCTTAGCCTTTGCTTGTTTCTGGTCTGTGAGAACTAAAGAACGTGCTGGACATGTTACAACTTGAGAACAACGCGCTGCAGGGCTTGAAGCGACAGCACGACCAGAAGGTGTCCGCCTTCGAGGAGATGCAGGCTGGCATGCGAGAGGTAACGGACAAAGCTGTTGACCCTTCACACACTGCAGACTCCGTCTCTCGGGGTGTTTAAGTTCTCTTTTCTCTGGTCAAGGAGAAACTGGAGTTGGAGAATTTGCAGCAAGTAGCCCAGCAACAGAAAGGGGAAATAGAGTGGCAGAAGCAGGTCCTGGAGAAGGACAAACGGGAAATGGAGCGGATGACTGCGGAGAGCCGAGCCTTGCAGGTGTGCATCGAGTCTTTGAGCAAAGAAAAGGAAGATCTCGAAGAGGAATGCGGGAGCTGGGCCAAGAAGACGGCACACTCCAAAAGGTGAGGGCAGGGTTCACGGTAGCGTGCAGTTAGGGTGACTGCTGGAAAGCTAAACTGTGTCTTTTTTAAAATTATCAGACTAACATAGACACAGTATTTTTTAAAGTTGGAAAATAGCAAATAAGAAACCAAGTACGTTACAAACTCAGGATCATAATGTAATTCACAAATTGCATTTGGTGGTCAATTCCTTTGTTTTGTAATCTGTTGTTTAAGATACCAGTTTGCCCCAAGTTGATCTATAGATCATAGCAATCCCAATCAAAACCCCAGCAGTCTGCTTTGCAGAAGTTGACAATAAAGTTTATTAAAAATTCAGAATATAATGTAAATACACATGACACCAAAACAACTTTTAAAAAGGAAAACAAAATTTTAGGTAGCACTACCTGATTTCAACTTATTTTTACGTAATTATAAAACCTAAATAAATAGACTCTTAGATGAAAAATAGGAGAACATCTATGTGACCTTAGGTTAGATATTTAGATATGACACTAAAAACATGATACTTAAATTTATAAAGGTAGAATCCATCAAGATTTAAAACTTTGCTTCTCAAAAGACAATGTTAAGATAATGAAAAGAGAAGCCACACAACAAGCGAAAAATCTTTGTTAGCTGTATATCTGATAATGGGCATATAGCCAGAAAATATATCTTTAAAATCTCTCTAACCTCAATAGTAAGAAAGCAACTCGATTTTAAAAATAGCCAACAGATTTAGCAGACAGGTCACTAAATAAGATTATGTGGTGGGCAAGTGAGCACAGGAAATGATACTCAGCCTCAATAATCTTTAGGGAAATGCAAATTAAAACCACAAGGAACGATCATTACATACCTATCAGACTGACTAAAATTAAAGACTGACCATACCAACCGTTAACAAGGAATTCTCACACACCATTAATGAGAGTGAAATAAGATAACCACTCTAGGAAACAATTTGGTGATCCCTTCAAAATGTAAACATGTACCACCATAAAATCCAGCCATTTCACTCCTAGGTATATATGCAAGAAAAATGAAAGCAGGCTACCCATACAAAGACCGTACACTAATGGGCACAGCAGTTCGGGGTCCAGCAATTGGTGAATGGATAAACAAATTGTGGTGTTTCCAAACTCAGTAGCAAGGGAATAAAGTATTTATTTACACAACAACATAGATGTCTCGCAATTGTTATGCTGAGTGAAAAGACCCAGACAAAATAAGTACATACTGGATAATTCCATTCATGTAAAAGAATGCATACTGTGTGTGTTTTATCATTGGCTTTTCTAAAACTTCCATTTAATAGGTTACTTTTTGGGATGGTAGGGGGTGGATCTCCTGCTTAGAAAGCTTATAAACAAGGATTCTTTGGAAAATGAGTTAAAGACGGTTCTATTTTGTTGAGGTTTACGGTGTCCAGGCTCCCCATGATGGTACCTTTCAGAAGCACAGAACTGGCCCTCCGTCATCTTGGGGTTTGTGAACAATTTGTTTTTGACAGTTTGACTTATTCTCTGCTTTCGTGACAGAGCTTTGGCAGCTGCAGAGGAGAACAGCAAAACCGAGCAGTCAAACTTAGAAACATTGGGACTGAGTGTCAGGAAACTTCAGCAGGAACTAGACCAACTCAACAGGAATAAGCTCTCGCTGCATAAAGACATTGCAGGAATGCAGAAGCAGCTACAAGGTATGAGGCCGCAGAACAGGAAAGATGAGTCCTGGCTTTCCTTCATTGGATTTAAAAGTATATAGTATTGATTGATTTTCTTATTGCCAAATAATTTGTGCTAATAGGCGTGGATTTCTTTTAGACATGATGAAAATGTTCTAAATTAAGCCTGTGGTGATGATTATACAACTCTGCACATACAAAAAGCCATCAGATTGTACATGTTAAATGAGGAATATACCTAGTATGTAAATTAAAGCTCTTTTTCAAAGCAATCCGTGTACCTTACAGGAAAAATTAAAATTGTCTGGCAACAAATGTGCTTGACACAAAGGATATGTGTATGGATTGTGATAAGAATTGTACGAGCCCCCAATAAATGATTTTTAAAAAAATTGTCACAAACAGATGAACTTTACCCTTCAGAGATAATTCCTACTAACAGTTTAGTGAGTATCCTTCTATATTTTTTCTTTATGTGCATGCATTAACAGAGATGTAGATCCTTATTGTCAAATCATTATATATATATTAATAATTAGGATAAATTACTACATAATAGCTATAGATAGTAATATATTTGTTGATCCTTGACTGTATCCTAGGCCTGTTTTACATGCATTTTTCTAATTTAATTCTCATAATATTTTTAAAAATAATATATTGGGGGTTCGTACAATCCATACATCCATCCATGTGTCAAGCACATTTGTACATTTGTTGCCATCATCATTCTCAAAACATTTTCCTTCTACTTGAGCCCTTGGTATCAGCTTCTCATTTTCCCCCTCCCTCCCCGCTTCCCCCTCCCTCATGAACCTTAATAATTTATAAAGTATTATTTTTTCATGTCTTACACTGACCGATGTCTCCCTTTACCCACTTTTTTGTTGTCCACCCCCCTGGGAGCAGGTTATAGGTACATCATTGTGATTGGTTCTCCCCTTCTCCCTTCACCTTCCCCTTCACTCCTGGTATGGCTACTCTCAGGGGTTTATCTGTCCTGGATTCCTTGTGTTTCCAGCTCTTATTTTACCCATGTACATGCTCTGGTCTAGCCAGATTTGTAAGATAGAATTGGGGTCATGATAGTGCTTGGGGAGGCAGCATTAAAGAACTAGAGGAAAGTTATATGTTTCATCAGTGCTATACTGTACTCTGAGTGGCTCGTCATCTCCCCATGACTTTTCTGTAAGGGGATGTCCAATTGCCTACAGATGGGCTTTGGGCCTCCACTCTGCACTCCCCTCTCATTCACAGTGAAACAATTTTGTGTTCTGCGTCTTTGATGCCTGATACCTGATCCTATCAACACCTCATGATCACACAGGCTGTTGTGCTTCTTCTATGTGGACTTTGTTGCTTCTCACCTAGATGGCCACGTGCTTACCTTCAAGCCTTTAAGACCCCAGCTGCTATATCTTTTGATAGCTGGGCACCATCAGCTTTCTTCACCACATTTACTTATGCACCCATTTGTCTTCAGCAATTGTGTTGGGAAGGTGAGCATCATAGAATGCCAGTTTAATAGAACAAACTGTTCTTGTGTTGAGGGAGTACTTGAGTAGAGGCCCAATGTCCATCTGCTGCTTTAATACTTCACATAGATCTGTTTCCCTATTGTCATATATCCATATATTTACATATGTACATACCTGTATTTAGACCTTTATAAATGCCCTTTGCCTCCTAGTTCTTTCCTCTATTTCCTTTTACTTTCCTCTTATTCCACTATCATGTTCAACCTTCATTTGGGTTTCAGGAATTCCTCTCGGTTATATTGCCCTTGATCATGCCCTACCAGGCCTCCTACCCCCTCATCGCCATCAATTTTAGATCACTTCTTGTTCTGTTGTCTCTGGGTTTGTTAACACCCACTTCCTTTCCCCCACCTTCCCCTCTCCATCCCCACCCCCCAACCATTGGTTCCGTTGTTTTCCCTCCAGATTATTTATCCCACCTATCTTACCTAGCTAGACCTGCAGAGATAATAATATGCACACACAAAAGACAGCAAACCAAAGCAACAAAAGAAAACAAAACAATAGCCACACACCAAAAAAACTCATGACAAAACAAGAAAAGCCTCTAAATAGTTCAAGGTCTGTTTGTTGACATTTAGTAGTATTTTCTGATTGAGTCTGATGGGGTGTCACGCCCTGGCCCCAAAGTCTATTTTTGGTATTCCCCAGGGACTTCATTGCTCTGCTCCCCTTGCTGTTCTGCGGCACGCCCTGAGTGTTTTGCCTCTGTGTGGTGGGATCAGATCGGGTGCAATTCCCACACTGTGTCCAGTGTTGTCCCATGCAGGGCTATGGGTCAGTGAGGGATGTCGTGTCTCATAGTGGGGCTGGCCCTATGGTCTTCTCTGTGCACTGGCTGCTCTGAGCAGGGATATCGTCCTCAGGGCTTGGTGGGCCAGGATGTGTGCCACTCTCTCTCCCTCCCCCCTCATTTGCTCCCCTGTGTGCTCTGATCAGACATGTCCCTCTCCCTGAGCTGCAGCTTCAGTGCTGTCCTCTGAGGTGGGTTCTTCTGAGGGAGAGGGGCTGTCCACATAGTTGGGAATGGGGCCAGTCCTTTCTATTGGTTCCCTGCTTCATGCCGGTTCTCATAATATTTTTACAAAATAGAAACTCTTATTTTACCCATTTACAGATGAACAGAGAAATTATTTGTGTGACTAGCTCAAGTGAGAATTGACTTGCTTACAGTTACATAGTGGCAAATCGAGGAACTGAATATAGATAAAAAATTTATCCCTAAATTGTATTTCTGAAGGGTTGTACCAGCAATGCAAACGGTACCCATTTTTAAACCGATCTTACTAACACTAGGTAATTATCTTAAATCCTTTTTTTGTATGGTCTGAATGTAAGTATTTAAAAAAAAACCAGGCCCTAAGCCCAGATGTGTGTTGTGACTCATGCCTCGTATCTTTTGGCCTTTAGTAAGAGCAATAAAGCCAAAAACCAAACCCTCTCCCGTCAAGTTGATTCCAATTCATAGTGTTCCTAGAGATTGGCCCCATAGGGGTTCCTAGGCTGTAATCTTCACCGAGCCGCCTCCTGAGCCTCTCCCTCCTGGAGTGGCTGCTGGGTTCAGACTGTCAGTGTTTCCCTTAGCAGCCAAGTGCTCAGCCATGGCACCATTTCGTAAGATAGACTTAAATTTATTTCCACTTGTAATTTTTAGCAGGCTGATGGGAATTTGAAAAAGGCATACATTGCCATTTCTTACTTAATGACAATTTTATTTCTGTAGAGAAACGAGAAGAAGTAAACACACTAGAGGAGAAGCTAGCTCATGTGCAAGACCATTTGAGCCTCACAGAACAGGTAAGCTTAACAAATGTAAACCTCTCCCACAATCCCTTAGAACACACACAAAACACAAAAGATAAAGTAGGTTGAATGCCTTTCGTGTTTTATATGTTTTGAGCACAAGCATAAAAATAAAAGCCGTGGTGCAATGCAGTGGTTTTCAAATTTCAGATTTTTGATTCAAAGTTTTACTGAAAGCTGAAAAATAGGCTGCTGGCTAGACCTCCGCAGTGCCTGCTGTTTCACCAGCCCTCCAGGCTTCTGAAGGTCGAGCTAGGTTCATCTCCGTGATCTGCAGAGTAGCCTGTAGAGCTGAGCCTCTGTCGTGGCAGGTGTTACATAGAGGGAATTCTTGACCCTTGTACTTCTTACTAAACTCAGGCTTGTCCTGTGAGATTAGTGCTATAATTTGTGTTCTAGAGAACCTCAAGCAGTTTCCCATGTGTAAATTAGCAGTTGATTTTAGACATCTAAATTCTCTGCATTCGACCTTTACAATTCTGTGCTTCTAAGAAATATAAAACTTAAAATACAAGTGTTCTCTCTTAAAATTTTCACACAGGTTCTTATGAATATTTTCTCTGGTTTTCAAAAATGCTTAATTTGAGTTCCTTCAAAGAAAGAAAACCTTCTGAGACTTTTAAAATTTGTTTTTTAAAGCAATATAAATACTTTAAATAGAAATAAAAACATGGCTTTGGACCCATTTTTTGTTAACATTGTTAAGCCTTAGTCACAGTTTTTCCTAAGTCCTCTCAGTAATCCCGAGATGAGTGTTATGTTTGCCTTAGTAATGAGGCTCGGGGGAACTGAGTCTCTCGCCTACAGTTGTGGTTTTGGCATCTTATTTAAATAAAAGGGGCGCTGGTGGTGTAGTGTTAAGTGTTGGGCTGCAGCGATTCACGTGCTCGGCAGGTCGAACCTCCAGCAGCTCCTCAGGAGAAACACTGGGCTTTCTACTCTCGTAAACAGTTATAGTCTCGGAAAGCCATGGGGGGTTTCCTGCCATCTGACTGCATGCAGAGTGAGAAATGAAGGCAATGACTAAATGGAGTTCTTGACATCTTTTTACAAGCTCACTGGGATAAGAAGGGGTATGGAACTTTTGCTAAGACTTAGGCCGGTCCTGGCTGGTAAGGATGGCTTTGTTGATTGTTTCAGTTGGTTCTTTGACCTACAGGATCTGCTTCACACCACCAAGCACCGGGACATACAGCTTAGTGAGCAGACCAGGCTCCAGAAGGACATCAGCGAGCAGAAAAAGAAGTTTAAAGACTGTGAGAAAGAAGGGGAGACAAAGCAACAACAACTGCAGGGGCTCCGGAATGAGATCAACGAAAACAAGCTCAAGCTAGACCAGCAAGAAATGGTACCACACACATTTTTGATTTCATGGAAAGGAAAGCATTTTGCTGATTTAATGAACTCTTCCCTCCTGGCAGAAAGGTGCTATCCCCTACTCAGCTATGCTTCCCTTAACGACCCTGTATAATCAGGTGTAGATCTTATGCCAACTGTTTGAATCTTAGTAATAATGTGCATGGACCATTAAGATCAGAAAATGTTGGTCCTGTAAAGAATCACATGCCATTTGCTTTGGAATCCCCTCTGCCACTCGCTGACTGAATCATCTGCCAGGGTCTTGCGCTGTCACAGGGGACCGTTTCCTACATTCTGTTGAGCTGGAATCTGCCTCGTGCCCATGATGGTTCTCTCACCTGGGGCACTGACTTTATGATTAACTAAGGCTCTCTTTTCCTAAGATGCTTCAAAAACTCCGGCGAGAGAGAGAAACGGAAGAGAAGCGGTGGGAAGCCAGCAAGGTGGCATTGCAGGAGGAGCACGAGCAGCTGGGGAAAGAGCTCACAGACCAGAAAACCAAACTGGAACAGGTGCTCGCCACGGCCGCGGCCGCTGAGGAGCGAGTCCGGATGCTGCAGGAGGAGGAGCGGTGGAGTGACGCCCTGGAGAAGACGCTTTCCCAAACCAGTATGTCTGCTGGGGGCGAGCGTGTGGAAGGTGGAGGGGGGCTCTGCTGGCTGTCTTGTCTGCTGTGATCTGAGAGACCAGGGCACTGTCCAGAGCCCAGAAAGGTGGGCGGAGAAGCAAGGCAGGAAGTCCATCTTATTTGATGTTTGGGGCCTTAAGGAGGAGGAGACTGGCTCAGGACACAGGAACAGTTTGTATGCTTTGGGAGTTGGGATTCAGTCATGGGCTGTTGATTCTCATTTGCCTTCCTCAAGAATACTCTCTCAAGAAGGTGGGACATGAAAGTAGAAGTGCCCAAAGATACGCTAAGGCAGTGGTTCTCAACCTGTGGGCTGAGACCCCTTTGGGGGTCGAACAACCCTTTCACAGGGGTCGCCTGATTCATAACAGTAGCGAAAGTACAGTGATGAAGTAGCAGCGAACATAATTCTATAGATGGGGGGGGGGGTCACCACAACACGAGGGGTCACGGCATGAGGAAGGTGGAGAGCCACTGCCCCGACGGCTCTCTCAGCAGCAGGAGGGTTGCGAACGCTGGAATGGTGATCCATTCCAGCCTGTCCGTCAAACCCCAGCGGCCACTGGATGGGCTGTGGGACCACATTACAGGTGTTTCCTTGGAGCCACTCTTCTCAAGCTGCACCACGTGACGTGGGTGTGGCAACCCAGAGTTCACAACTGCTCATGTACCAGCACATAATTTGTCTCTTTCTTGGGCTGGTGTTTAATTATGTTTGTTATGCCCTTAGCAAGCTCAGTAATCTGGGAGATCTGGAAGGGCTATTTCTCCTTCCCTGGGAGCCCTTGGTACACCCAGACCCAATCATGTCATGATGAAAATGGAATTTGTCCTCAGTCTAGTCACGCCAGAGGTGTTGAGAAGTGAGATAGGGCAGTGTGTTACTCCAAAGAAACAGGGTGATTAGAAAAAAATCATGTAGAATGCCCTTTGCATTTATTTATGAGCATTAGTTATGGAGAGCCCTAGGGCAGAGTGGTTCCCTGATGACTGCTAACTGAGAAGTCAGCAGTTTGAAACCACCAGCCGCTCTGAGGGACAAAGACAAGGTTTTCTATTCCATCAAGAGGTATAGTCTTAGAACACCACAGGGGCAGTTCTGCCTAGCCCTATCGCTTTGAGTCCGCATCGACTCAAAGGCAGTGAGATTTCTTTGTACCAAGATTTTGCATATGACTCTCATTGAACACTGAGAGACAGGTCCCTCATCTTCTAAGTGGTATCAGTCCAGTGTAGTGATGTCTTCAGACCCTAGTCTCTTCCCCCTACACGGCCTCCCATGAAGAAAGGAGACGTGCTACTCCCTTTATTAAAATCAAGGTTTTCAAAAAAACATTCCCACTCTCTGTTCTGCCTAACCCTGCTCGAGCGAGTGGTCCTGTGTGACTCACGTGCCTCAGAGACTTGAAAGAAAAGATAGTGGCTGTCTGCCACTTTAGGATCAGGCCTCCAGGAAACCACGGCATCAAGAGGCTCCTTCTCTGGACATCTGGTGTGGGTCAGGGTGGGTTTGTGAGGCTAAGTGCTGGAGGGAAGTGCCCGAGTGAGTTACATAGTCCACCCCCAGGGGAAAGATCCCTACAGCCAGCCCAAGGCCTCTGGCCAACCTACTAAATTGGCCATTTCAGAACGACAGCTTTCAGAACGGGAAGAGGAAGTAAAGGAAAAATCAAGGGAGCTTCTGGCTGTCCAGCAAGAGATGGACTCCCTGAGGGCTGACTTCAGCCTCCTGCGGAAGCAGTTCTTGACAGAGAGAAAGAAAGCTGAGAAGCAGGTGGCCAGCCTCAAGGAAGCACTGAAGACCCAGCGGAGCCAGCTGGAGAGAAACCTCCTTGTGAGTACCTGCCACCTGGCAGCTAATGAGGACTGATGCGTTTACATTTCTAAACTAAACACTGCTTCAATGCAGAGAAAAAACCTACCCATTAATCCAGCACCTGATTCTACTGTTGATAGTGGTGTATGTATACATAATCTGTTCCTTTAAGCTAATGGTAGGTCTTCCCTGGACTGCACTGCAGCCCGAGGAAGCTGTGTGGCGGTCAGGTGGTCATGTGAGCAGTCTGTCTGCAGAGCTGAGAGCTCAGGCTTGCTCGGAAGCAGGTCTTGGCCTCCTCTGACTGTCCGGGAGCAGAGGGCAGTGCTAAGCAAGTGCCAGTAGACCTTTCTATTCAACTGCAGTCAGTGCTCACACGGCTTTCCACCTGCTCGTTTTAGTCCCTATTAACTATAATCAATCAATGTCCTAAAACCTGGGAAGCTCAAATGACCATGTTTTTATTCTTAAGATAAATGTTGGGAGGTAATGAACTCAAGACTTTATAGTAGGCAGAGGCAGGCCTGCAGTAAGGGAGGGATCATCATAGGGCTGGATTCCTTCAGCCCCCTCTAGAGTAGCTGATAGGGCTCCATTGAGCTTTCGGTGGTGGTGTGGCTACAGGATGGGCTGCTAATTGCAAAGTCAATAGTTCAAAAACACTAGCCGCTACTAGGGTTCTACTCCTAATAAAGAGTTGCAGCCTCAGAGACCCACGGGGGCAGTTCTTTCTTGTCCTATAGAGTCGTTAGGAGTTGGTATCTACTCGATGGCAGTGAGTTTGGGGTTTTTTTTAGGTTATTGCGTGGAGGACAAGAACCTTGGTGGCACAGTGGTTAAGTACTTGGTTGCCAACTAAAAGGTTAGTGGTTCAAACCCACCAGCCACTCTGCAGGAGAAAGGTGAAGCAGTCTGCTTCTGTCAGGATTTTCAGCCTTGGCCCCTGTGGAGCAAATCTACTCTGTTTTACAAGGCCACTATGCATTGGAATCGACTCTGCGGCCGAGGGCCCGGTGGGTGGGGGTGGGGCATGGGTTTGGTTGTGTGGAGGTGTCCCAGTGGTGTAAATGGTTGGTGCTTCAAATGGACCCTCAGAAAGGCCTGAGAGGTCACAGGTCACAGGCCTGAATCCCATGGAACACAGTGCTACTCAGGCCTGACTCCATGGCAACTGGTTGGAGTGGTTGTCGTGAGCAAAGTACTTTATCACTGGGGAATAGGCAAGATGATGGTAAAGGCAATCTGTAGAGGTGACATTGCAATCTTCCCACTAGTAAGCCTAAGATGAAGGATATTAGTGCCCATTTTACACTTAATTGAGGAAAGAGATAATAGCTACCATCAAAAGAAACAGTGCTGCTCTTTAGCCTCTGAGCTAAGAAACTCAGACACGTATGTACTTCTAGTTGTATTACACATGGCAAAGAAGGTAGGCAAATGTACTCAGTTTACGGCCAGAGAAGCTGAGGCTTGGGTGGGAAATAATACCACATATTGGACCAGAGGCATTTCCTCTTTCTGTGCTAGGAGCAAAAACAGGAGAACAGCTGCATGCAGAAGGAAATGGCAACAATCGAGCAGGTGGCCCAGGACAACCATGAGCGGGCCCGGCGGCTGATGGCAGAGCTTGTCCAGATGCAGCAGGAGTACATGGAGCTCAAGAAGCAGGTGGGCCCTGGGGACACCC